GATACGGCACTTAACTGGAGCCCTGCACGGCACTTCAGCGTGTTCAGAAAGACCATCTCAAACCTATGGACCCGATACGACAATACTGGGAGTGTTAAAGGTCACATAAACCCTAGGGGGTAAAAATACATAAATCACTAACTGGCATCGTTATAAATGAAACCCCGTCATTAACACTACTCATTTCGACCTTTAATTGACTTAAATCGACCTTTTTGACAACAGTGCACAATTCTCACCCGCGAACGAAATTTCAACCAATCAGAGCGGCGCGACTCTGTGACGTCATATGAGGAATAGCCTAGAGGGCCTGTGCAGTATTTATCTACATTTTAGGGGTTAAATTATCTTGTTTACAGGCTTGTATAAACCTGAAATCTTGACAATTGTTGTGGAAAATGAAAGCTTTATGTTCTCACAATCTACTGTCATTGAATTGTGTCTCCTGCTTTGCCTAGTTTCCGAGTTACAACTTGTTTTCATGGACGATTCTGTCAAAATCGATTGGTGTCGTTAGGCCCTATTTGTATAATGACTGATCCAAATTGATCCCATTTCTGTGTTTTTCTACCTCGATATTTAATCATGTCATGTAAAAATCTGTTTGTATTCTCAAAACAGTGTCGGCCCATAAGTTTTCACATGCAATACAGCAATTAATACTACACATGTTATTTGTCATCATTCACTTGATGGTCAGTTAATGAATTTATAACAGGTATAATTAGTGGTAACACACTTAAATTACCCGACAAAGGTTCCCATTTGGCATTTCTTGTGTCTGGAGTAAATATTCAACATTATAAACATCGATCAAAGAATTAACCGATAACACGCTGATTGATTAATTACTTTTATCTTACACAGCGGAATTGTCAAAAGGTAGTGTTTATGTATGTGGATTTACTAATCTATACTGAATACACTCTGTCGTGTCGGTGTCTGCGTAAAAACAACGTCCTTCTTTCAAAGGATTAACCGGCAATACATTGATTGATTGCCCATTATTTTAATTTTAATATTTGCATTTTGTTTTTATTCATTTGTCGTAGCATTCAACAGAATCATTGTTTTCGCCGCGAAGTGTAATGAGACAGACAATATGCACTAGGGTGTGTGTGCGAATTATGATTCACATTGGCAAACTATAAAATGTCTAGATATTACAGTTCTGTTATAAATTCACTATAAGTATCAGCAGATCGTCTGTTTTTTATTTAGTTTCAAAATGCATACAAGTATGATAATAAACTAATTAGGATTATAAGACCAAATATAAAGACGCACATTGACTAGTATCTACATACTGGTGAGTGGACATTAACCATGGGAATGTAGCAAGAAATTTATCGCGCAGTATTGTGACTTCGACCCCCACCTCACTTCCGTGGAAGAAATCGTTATGTTATAAAGTTGTGTCATGCAAAATTCGTTTGGTTATGATTCCAATACATATTTAACTACGAGTAGAAAGTAGTCTTGATTTTCTAACTTGATGAAAACAAACTATAATCTCATTAATTCTAACAGATTTTTTTATTTTTAAAAATGGCGGCGCCATGTCGGGAACATCCGCCAGTCTGAGGATAAATGGTATTTAGGTTTGTTTCCACCGAGTTACAAAATCAAAACTACTTTCTACTGGTAGTAAAATATGTATTTTATTGATGGCTAATAGGATTTTGCATGACAAAGCGTATAACATAACAATTTCTCTCGTGGCAGCGAGGTGGGTGTCAATATAATACTATTTACAATATTATTGTTACTTCGACCACAACCTCACTTTCGAGGAAGAAATCGTTATGTTACAAGTTGTGTCATAGAAAATCTTTATGGTCATCAATCATATGCATATTTTACTACAACTAGTAAGTAGTTTTGATTCTTTAACTTCCGTGAAGCGATCTGAACACAAGTAAGATATCGTGTCAGGCTTCCACAACGCTCGCTTCGAACTCACAAACATAACCCATTTAGCACGAACTGCGGGGTCCTGTGGAAATCTGTGCATGGGGACACCAACGCCCGACCCCTAGGAGCAATTGACCACAAAGCAACGATTCGGCATGTCGTCGTTGATGTCGAGAAATCATCAAAATGATGAACGTGCTACACATTTTCTATACAACTAACTGAAAATCGTTCCTCATATGACGTCACTGCAGTGCTCCGGCGACAGAGTTACGTAACCTGTCTGTGGTTTCGTTGGCGGGCGAGAGGGAAGCAGGCGACTTTTTGGCAACTTTTAATCGCTCGGTATTAAATAACCACAAGTTTTTAAAGAATAATTTTGGTGTTCCGCATAAGACTAACCACAAATCTTTCATATGTAATGGTTAAAAGAGTAACAAAAAACAAAGTTTAGTGGTTCTTTAATGACAGACACAGGTCAGGTCGACCTAGAGATACCACCACAACGCCCAGGATCCGGCTGTGACATCTTCTCATCTACACCATCATCTACAACAATCCAATTCCTGGACTGCGGCATATCTCCGACCAGACAGTGCGCAATTGTCTACGGGAAGCCAGACATTTTGCCAGAAGACCAGATCAGTGTCACGTCATTCCTTCCATCAACGTCAGCGTTTGATTTTTGGAGTATGACAATGCACGACCTCACATTGCACGTGTCTGACAGGACTTCCTCCAGCGAAACAATGTTCAGCTGTTACATTAGCCTTCTCGATCACCCGATTTGTCCACCATTGAACATCTATGGAATACTCTTCTTGATCGACGCTTGCGCCACCTCAGACACTATAAGAACTGCACACAGCTCTTCAGCAATGATATTAAAACATTCCTCAAGACAGCATTCGGCATCTCCTTTCTTCTGTGGGTCACCGATGACCTAGTGGTCACTCCAGATACTGACATTTTACTCTGACCAAGTGGCTTTAATAGCCCTCTGTGGTTTTACACTTTCTGGGTAATCATGTTTTGGAATACAAGTGGTGATTTTACTGCAATGGAACAATGATGTCATGTTTGACTTAGTTATATGCACTCTGTACATAAACTCCAAAACAGCATGTATAGAGTATATAATTGCTCCACATGCGATCTTTACGTGATTTAGTGCATTTCGCAAATGGCTGTATGGCTCCCATACAGTCCACGTGTTTACTGTCAGTGTGTAAAGTGTTTCATTGTTTCTCTTGATATCCAGTAGGGAGGAGTCATGTTCAATGTTCAGATTTGATCTTTATGCAGATTTTCCAGATTATATGTACATACATATTCACGCTGGATACTCAGCCAAAGCCTATTTTAGAAACTGGATCCCTCTTACAGTAAAGGGAATAATACCGTCTGTCTCCATCACTATAATCACTGGTGGGCCTAAATGTTTTCTCGATGTTCTTTGTCCCACCAGGAGGACAATAATTTTAGAATTACCCCCCTTTGATCCAGCCAACATATGAGATCATGTTCTAACTCCCTGGTCTGTGTCTGGTTCAAGGAGTCGATGAGCAAATGCTTGAATTGTTTGAAAGCCCTACTTAGGAGATAGTATCACCTAATTAGGAGATAGCTAAGTGCTAATTAGGACATAGTATCACCTAATTAGGAGATAACTGAGTCCTAATTAGAAGATAAACAAAACCAGACTGTGGCATTAGGACGCTTCTGTAGGTACGCTTCAGATGCATCGTTTGGCCCCGGAAGTAAATCTAACAGATCCACAAAGCGCTCCCGGTCTTCTGATTGGCTCAAATTGACGCATGCGCCTGTTTTGATTGACAGACTGAATCGGTCTATCCTGGTGGAGTCGTAAATTCCTCGTATCGTAGAATCAGTCGGACAAACAAACTCGTATATAAAAATCTACATCCATTGCATTCAGAGTAGAAACATATCTATGTTTCAGGAAACAAAACCTGCCTCAACTTGCCGTTTTGAAACCTTCGTTGTATGTTCAGTTTACCCTACGTGGGGACACGTATACACACATGAACACACATTAACATGCTTGTACTTAGTTAAGCATCCACATCTTATGTCAACATCATGAGCATCGATCTATGCAGTTGGGTTACGATGACATGTGCAAACCAAGTCAGCGAGCCTGACCACCCAATCTTGTTAGTCGCCTCTCAGCACAAGGATGAATTACTTAAGACCAGTTCTAGTTTGGTACTACGCCCCTTTACAAATGTTCTTTTACTTCATGTTATTTTCAGATGAGAGATTGCATCTACTTACCTCTTTTTCTACACGCTCCTTGTCGCCTGTAAAGAAATAAAATCAAAGTTTAGAGTTTTTCACACGTGGCTATTGTCAATTCTATCATTGATGTGTGAGGCTTCAGTACTGTGTTGCCAGTCTAGTTTGTCATTGTCAATAAATGTATAAAAAGTTTCACATATACACTAATCGTACAATATCAACTTATTGACAACATAACCTAAACCTAGATATACCATATGCAACAGTCAGCTGATCTGTGATATCCTACAGAGATTTGAACTTTGACAAAACAGTGGTAGTGTCCACAGGGGCTGTACAGGTATCAACTTGAACTGCTCTGGTGCTGCATGATCTGCTGCTTCCATATGGTTCCCTTTTGTGCTACACTGTCTATAATCTACTAGGAACGTGGTGATCTACCTTCAGTTGTTGGCAATCTATAGCCTGTTTTTTAAATTGTATTGTCATTTATAGTTAAAATATTTTTTATTTAATTACCAGTCTTAAATTTATTCCTGTGATAATATAGTTGTTTTACTGTCCTTTGCAGACAGAGAAGTATATTATATAAGTTTGTTTTATTCATTTATAAATTTACAACTTTCTTAGTCAGGATATGGCTGAAATAATGCCGATGTGACTTTAAATTGTAACTCACTCACGACTAGGAACAATTCCACAGCATTTGAATACTTGTCAAGACAAAGGATGCGTTCTGAACACAACACCCGGCGGAAGTGTCTGAAAGTGACAAAATCAAAAGCATCGTTTGTCTATGGGCACCATTAATAGTATTTATTCACCTTGCGCCTGGACCAAGTTGATGTTAGTGTTGCCAACTCCACCATGAACAATTCCTGCAGCGTTAACCGTCTCTGTGTGTCCTTCCGTGTTTGGTTTAACCTGGATATTCTTGGTACTGGGTTGAGGAGGATTGCTGTCGTTGTTCTGATTACTCATGGTTGTGGTGGTCAGTCGAGGTCTGCCGGAACTATCTAGAACAGGAACACGATGTGTTGTGTCACCGTAGTAATGATTCTTTAATTAAATCATGACATGCCACAATAGACTGGCACATTGTACTCAGACCCTGACATTATGATTTATCCAGATCATCCACTGAGCCACTGTTATTGCCATGTTATGTATCTAGTTTGCCCCTTTAGTATTTGTGTTCTGGTAACACGATAGCCGATCTTGCTGCCAAGACAGCACTACAAAAATCTGTGACACCACTTCTTATTCCATACTCTGATTATAAAGCCGTCATCAGATCTTATATCCGTGATCTAATGCAGAAAAAGTTGGACACCAAAGTAGGTATCAATAAATTACATGCAATAAAACCTTATATTGGTTACACCTACTTGGGTTGTCAGTCCAGATATGAAGATGTCATCATACGACGATGTCGTATTGGCCACACAAGAATACCTATTGAAAGGTGAGGATCCTCCGTTTTGCATCCCTTGTGATGAAAGAATCACAGTCAAGCATGTCTTGCTTGACAGTGTTGAATATTCCATCACAAGGGATAACTATTTCAAATCACGAACTATGAAGGATCTTTTTTAATAATGTCAGTTCTCATTTAGTTATTGCATTTTTAAAAGAATTAGATTTGTTAAATGAATTGTAAATAGATAAATGATATTTTAACCATGGTAGTATAAATTAGCAACTGCGATTGCTAGTGGCTGTATCCTCAAAGGGGGTTAAAGTATCGTAAAATAATTGTTTTCCTGAGAGAAGTTAAATTTAAGCTTACCAGTTTTTTAAACGTAGTATATTTGTTCTTTTAAAACGTTTCCTAAAATCGCGTGCGGCTGAAGTGATGGGGAAAATCCAGCTAGGTTCCATGCAGGTAGCAAATGTACTGTAAATCCCCAGGGACCCTAGTATGGTGATCAGTTGTTGGCGATCAATAGCCTGTTTATATATTGTATTGTCCTCTATAGTTAAAGTATTCTAAATTTAATTATTAGTTTTAAGTAAGTATCTGTGATAGTCTAGTTTGTTTTACTATCCTTTGTCGACAGATATCTTAAATTGATTACCTTGTTCTCATCACCATATGGCTGTAATATTGCCGATGCGATGTAAAATTTTAACTCACTCACTCACTTTAGTATTTGTGATTGATAACAACCTTTCCCCATATCAAGACATACCCCTGGTGCTAATTTAGTATTTGTGATCCTTAACGTCCTGTCCCCATATCAAGATATAGCCCTGGGTCCCGTTTCACAAAACCCTCGTAACTCTACGGTCTCGTAACTTTTCTCGTAGTATTTGTACCTCCTATACTGTAACACAGATTTACCACAGTCGTAGTGTGAGACGGGGCCCTCGTGATAATTGATGCAAGTTAACTTGACAACCCTATGCTATGTACGCAATACAATATGCTTGCTCATGTCTATATTCCCTTGTAATTTACATGTACTAGACTTCTGTCGAAACATATATGTGTTCAGTCTAGACATGTAATAAATGTGTACATTCAACAGTTGAAGTTACATCGTGATAAGATTCTCCTGTACAAAAACAAGTGTGTTTAGTCTGGACTTCACTTTCTTGTGCTTGATTGTTGGACAACTGGGGCACAAATACAAATCTTTTGCTACTCTTTAATACATGTTGGTACAAGACAGATACATCCACAACTTGATCGGTGCATCACAATTGTCGACATATGGACCGATACACCTCGGAAAGTGTGGGTACATCTCTTCCAGTAGGTAATCAGTAGATGAAGTGACGTGTACGCGAGACGGTTTAAATAAAATGTGACTATATTTAACATCGAGTTTCACATATTATTCTAAAGCCACCCTGACCCTTGCACGAATTTTGTCCCCGCGCTGGAATGCAATTTTGCATGCCAATGAGTAAATTTGGTGTGAACTTTTGTGAAATGTGCATAAACTGTGCGGGATTGCGTACCAGTGCACAAAGAAAATTTTGGTACGCATAATCTTTGTGCCACTTGCGTCAACTAGTCATGAACATTACACAACCTACTCGCAAATATTGCAGGCGTTGCATATCAAAGTGGGTCAGTTTACGGCCATGAGCGCATTGACATGGAGTGTCACGCATTGGCCCGCTTTGAACACGATCCGTGTGCGACATGATCGCGACAGATTGCGCAAAATTCACGCCTTCTAACTTGTGGTGAAGTGGGCAGGCGGGACTTGTGTATTGTCACGACCTGTTCACGTGGTCCTGGGACGACGATTTCCCACATAGTTTGCGCACGGCACTAATAGTTTGCGCATGGTAGAAATACGCATACATTGGGTACGCCTACTTCAAGCGTTGATGGCACACGAACCAGGGACGGCCGTGCACTTGGCAGTGCGTACATTCCTCAACTCGACAGTGAACAGTCAACAAGATGCCTGCCGAGAAGACAAGAAGACAACAAGGACCAGCAGTGGACAGAAGTTGGAAGAAGACACCGGACCAGAAAAACAGACAGGGAGGGAGATAGAGACTGGGGTTGCAGAGAGTGAGATGGATATTTCTCTCCCCTCCCACTAATGTGCTGATGTTCCTGCACCTCAAGGGCAGCCCCAAGAAGAGCCCCAAACACAGCATGAAAAAGGATCAGAATTAGCAAAAAGAAATACCGGATTACAAATGGACGGAAGAGGGAACCATGAAGCTGGCCAAATTGGCTAATCTGGGAGCGATGAGAGAATGGTTTCATCAGCCAGGTTCTGAGTGATAATGCATCATCGGCTACAAAATGGTTTGGCACATGCTTATCATCATTAGGGAGTGGAGCTGGTCCAGGCAGTCCAGCTCGGTTGTCCTGGACAGCTTCATGCAAAGTACAGTTCTTCCATCTGAAGCACACCCTCTGCCCAAACATCAACATACAAGAACTTGTATCCAGCAACTACGTGGGCCATGAGTACAGTGTTGTGGATGTCATTATTGTAGTAGAATAATCCAGCTATGGGTGGCTTCTTCATAGAAACGTGCTTGCCGTCCACAGCTGTGGTAGTTCCTCATGGAAACCTTCAGCAACCTCCTTCCTCTCCTCTCCAGTTTTGGGGCACCTGAGTACTTCGCCCTTGTAAACCTCAAGGATGGCTTTGCAAACCTGTGGTAAAAACTTGCCGATTGTAGCTTCAGTGCTGAAGCTGTACTGTAGACTTGCATAGGAATTATCAGTGGCAAGGAAGCGAAGATGGTTGCCAGCTTGAGTCCCACCTCCAGCGGTTCTCTGAATGCCTTCTTCTAAAGATGAGGGTTAACTTCCACCGTGTCTTGTCGGGGGAGAGTAATGTCAATAACTGATCATAATGTCCGAAGTGATATCTTCTAGTCAACCATTCCCTCACCCACACTGTCCTTGCTTTCCTTTTTGTAGTTGGGGTTACATCTTCTTCTTTGGCCTGCTCTTGCTGCATTTGCAGGTCTTCAAGAGGTAATTGTGCTGGAGATATAGACATCTTCTCTTTTCTGCAATAATAGCTTGTTCTCTGATGTTCAACATTCTGTAGGTCCTAAGCAATGCATGAAGCTGGGGGTGATGCCTGCTATTTATATAGCGTGGCGTCAAGCGGGACAAAGCGGGCCCAAATAATACCACAACTGCTTCACGCATGTGCGAAGGGGTTGTGGCTATGCATGCCTATGCTGGAACTATGAGCATCGTGCGTACCATGCTGAACACTAGACGTAAACAATGCGCCAATAATACTTGACCTGGTCGTACATAAGTCGTGCGATATCCATGCCTATGCGTGCCAATGCACACCATTCTCAGTCACGCATTGAGGGCCAAGTGCGTAACTTATGCGTAAACAGGATGCAAACAGTACGCAAACTAGGCTTCATGCTTTCATGCGTACCATCTAAATTACACGCAATGCCACAACGAATTGTGCGGTAGTGCGGGGACAAAATTCATGCAAGTGTCGGGGTGGCTTTATATATATATTCTTATATTGGCCGTTCGTAGCTGATCGTAGAACTTCTCTGAAATTTCAGTTTTGGATATGAAGTGATACGAATCAATCCGTTCTGATACGATTTGTTGCGGTTGGATGCGATATTGTCACGATTTAAGTTGTCACGATCTGCTCTCCCGTTCAGATACGATCACATTCGTTACGATAGGATTGTCCCGATCGAGTCCACGATTGTGTTGCGATCTGACACGATCATCACGATACGTTTATCACGAACCGATGCGCTCTGTTGCGATAACGATCAAGGGTGATCCCGAATTGAGCAACAATTGCACCCGATATGTATATATACAGCCCAACTGGACTTAATTGTTTCTTGAGTTTCTGCAGAGATGATGATAACGTGACATTTGGAGTATTACTGTATGCTATAACATTATCGCTAGAGAGGAAGAAGACGAGCAGCAGCCAGACCAGCTACAACCCCAACAACAAAGGCACTTCTGGTTGCGACCATGGTTCACAGAGGAGAGGAGACAAAAGTTTGGTCAGTTCTCCAACCTCATTTCAACCAATTTAGGACTGGAGGATCCAGCAGCATTCCCAAACTACACAAGGTTAACACCACAGCTCTTCGATGTAGTCTTGCCCCCAGCAATTGATAGGTAAGTCACCAGTTTCGAGCAACCTTTCTCACCTTGACTTAAATCGGCAGTGACACTGAGGCACCTTCCCACTGAAGACAACTATCGGTCCTTTGCATATGCATTCAGGTGTTGAGCGTCCACTGTCTCAGAGGTGGTTCCAGAAATGTGCCAGGCAATTCGGCAAGCATACAAAGATGTGGTGTTTAGCCTACCTTTCACCCCTAAAGTCTGAACAGCCATAGCTAACCAGTTTGAGCAGAGATGGAATATCCCCACGCCACTGGGGCCTTGGATGACAAACACATTGCTGGGAAAAAACCTCTCTAATCTGGTAGCCTGTACTTCAACTACAAAGGCTTCTTTTCGATGCTGCTCCTAGCTCTGGTGGATGCAGATTACAAGTTTGTCTGAATCGAGCTTGGTGGAAAAGGAGACGTGTCAGTTGCCCAGATATTTGGCTGTTCAACGGCCTGGCAGAGGAAGCCCTAGGACACGCCCCACCCTGCCCTCTGACTCCAAGCCCTGGTGACCACCACGACATGCTGACCAACCATGGCTGGAAGGCTGTCAGGAAGGCTGGTGGTGAGGCTGCTGGGAGTGGTGGTGGTGTTGGAACTCTGCTGTTGGCAGTGACAACTACTGAGTTTTGGCTGGTGGAGGTTGTGACTTCAATACCAGTGGCACTTGCTGCTGCTGCTGCTGGCTACATTTCTGGCATCCACAGTCTCAATGTGAGGGATCAAAAAAGAGAACTTATCCCACAGCCACTTGCTGTTAATGTCAGTAATGGCATCTCCACCTGGACTGGACTGGTTCCGGTTCAGGGGGTGGGGCAGCCTTGCCCTTTCGCTTCTTGCCTCTGGTACCCTTGGGTGGCATCTTTCAAAGGCTTCAAAAATTACTAACAAAAGCAGGTGGACAGATGTGCATTCTTCATGGGTAGATCGCTGAGTATCAATTCTGATTTTCGGTACATATATGGGCGCACGAACTCGTAAAAGATCGTGAACGTCCGTGAAAAAGCGTCCATACTCGGATCTACTCGCATTTACTCGTATCAACTCGCATCTGCTCGTGAGTCATTCGTGTCAGGTCGTGAGCAAGGGGACCCAACAGGGCGTCACAGATAGTGGGAGATCGCAACACATCTCAACAGAGCGTGGTGTTTGTCTTGTCAACGATTAAATCCGATAACCATGATTCGGAAGCACGATTAGATGCGATAGATTGCGCTTTATTACGATGCAATACGATCTGATGCAATGATCACAATTGACAATTTATCGGTTTGATAGTAGAATATTTTTTAACCATCCAAACTTTTTTCTACAGTCAACACGATTGCCACGACTGACCTCAAGATCTGATAAGATCTGATAGGATCACCATGATAAGTCCACGATTCAGACCACGATTCCAATCGTTACGTGAATCTTGAACATAGCATTAGTACCGCAAACCGCACCTATCTCGCGAACTACAGACAGTTGGTCGTCTGGCGTACATGTCACGTCTCTGACGCATCACGGTACATCGCATTTAAAGGTAACTGCTACAATAAAGTGAAGTCATTTTTCCTCAACATTTTCAAAATAGCCTCTATCCAAGGTGTTCGGTCTGTGTTCGCTCTGACTTGACAGCGGTTGTGTAAAGTGCTCAACCCTGATTTCCAGCCTCGGCCTAGCTTGAGGCATGGCTACTGTTGTAGGTTCATGAATATCATTGTAGCTGACTTTTACTACTGTTGTCATTGACAACCGTTGTAATTGTATTGCCTTTTGAACTGGAGTGGAGACCAATGGTGATGACGTTGACATAGGCTATAGTGAATAATTCATACTGTCATCCTTTTGCAAGTGATTTGCTGAGGCAAAAACTCAAAACATGATGGAATCGTTCTTATCTAAAACAGACAGACAAGCTGACTTACCCCTGTCAGTTTTCTCCTCCGAGATCCGGGTGGGTTACACAGGCGCCTCACTAATAAGTCCAGTGTACAATGGCGAAGACAAACTCAGTAAAGCACAGGTCCAGTGTACAATGGCGAAGACAAACTCAGTAAAGCACAGGTCCAGCGTACAATGGCGAAGACAAACTCTGTAAAGCACAGGCCAAGTGTACAATGGCAAAGACAAACTCCGTAAAGCACAGGCCAAGTGTACAATGGCGAAGACAAACTCAGTAAAGCACAGGTCCAGTGTACAATGGCGAAGACAAACTCAGTAAAGCACAGGTCCAGTGTACAATGGCGAAGACAAACTCAGTAAAGCACAGGTCCAGTGTACAATGGCGAAGACAAACTCAGTAAAGCACAGGTCCAGTGTACAATGGCGAAGACAAACTCAGTAAAGCACAGGTCCAGTGTACAATGGGGAAGACAAACTCAGTAAAGCACAGGTCCAGTGTACAATGGCGAAGACAAACTCTGTAAAACACAGGCCCAGTGTACAATGGCGAAGACAAACTCAGTAAAGCACAGGCACAGTGTACAATGGCGAAGACAAACTCTGTAAAACACAGGCCCAGTGTACAATGGCGAACACAAACTCAGTAATACACGGACAAAGTTTACCTTGTCACACAACAGCAACACACTGCTGAATACTGAACGAAGTTAGACGGGTGATAGACGGAGTTAGACAGTGGACAGCTGGTGCCATAGAAACCGCCCTGAACGGTTTCTTCCTTGTGCCTATTCAAGAACATTCGGTATAACTAGTGCCTTTCCGTAATCAACAAGTCGGTTGCCTAAGGTTACGCCATACAGCTCAAGTGTTCAGGGTCAACAACGACACTGACACTGAAGTCAGTGCGCCCTGACACCATACAGCAACACAATGCTCATTGAAATAATGCGTGTGTGTACAGATGTGAACATAGATAATCCCACTACTATGCACTACATACTGACACCTGGTGTCATGTTTCTTACTCTACAGTTTGGTATTGAAGGTAATTATGTGAGGCCAACGTAGACACTGGAAGAAATGAAAGAGATCCCCTCTTCCCTACTACCCTCTACAATACAAACGGCCGGTGTCACGGGTCATTCTAGAGTTTAGTATTGTGGGTAACTAGTGTGTGTGTGAGACAGGGGGAAATGAAAGATACCCCAGCTTTCCTGCCATCCTCTACAATACAGACACCCGGTGTCACAGGTCACTCTACAGTTTAGTGTTGACTGTAGCTACTGTATATGAGACAGGAGGAAATGAAAAGACCCCTTCTTTCCTGTTACCCTCCACAATACAGACACCCGGTGTCACAGGTCATTCTACAGTTTAGTATTGAAGGTTACTAATGCGTGTGAGACGGGAGGAAATGAACTGACTCAGATGAAGCAGTCCTACTGGTATCTGTCATTCCGAACCAGAACCGCGGTGTTTGTCTCTGTGTTTAAATTGACCACATGTATTGTGTTGAGGAGATTGACCACTGTCCAGTCCTCCGAACGGGTTCTTGTGAAAACGGCCAAACAACGGCCAATGCTGCTTGAGAAAACGGTCTCTGGGCCTAGAGAAAACGGCCATTAAATATGACAGAAAACTACATGTATTTTATTTTGCTTTTATTCGTCTCTAAGCGGCATCACAGTAGCGACAGGAATATTTCGGCTTGCGCCTTCACCCGTCAACAATTAATTATTGAATAAACACGAAAAGATGTTGCATTACTCAGTGGTTGGCGGTGAAAGTATTAGATAAGATGATCTATCAGTTAGTAGTACTGATTCCAACTTTTGTTCTTGTAGTTCTGCGATGGTACCTAGTAAGGTGATATACCTTCAGTTGTTGGTATTCTATAGCCTGTTTCTATACTGTATTCTCATCTATAGTTTAAATGTTTTAAATATAATTTATATTTTCAAGTTTATATCTGCGATAAACTATGTTCTTTGAGAGGCAATTTAGAAGCTGTGATGATGAAGGAAAACTAATCAATTTGCCAGGCCGGGTGATCGAACTGATCTTGGTGGAGAATTCGGAGGATTTGGAGACGAAGGATGTGGCTGATGTACCAAGGGGGACGAGGAGACGGGCAATGTGTGGACGGTGTTTCTGGAGCAGACTAGTAGGCGGGCCTTGATGGGGTCTTTGTGTACTTTGATGGTAGCTCGGGCATAGGGTGGCCCTTGTTAATTGCATATACTCACTATGTCCATGTTTCAAATTGTTGTATCACTTGTTTGATAACGGTGTTAGTACCTATACCGAAAAGTCGCACTCATTGCAACAAAGAAGTTGACTATCCATAGAACTTAATTTTCCTGCGATAAACTAGTTGCTTTGCAGTCCTTCGGTGATAGTTGTTTATAATTTACCTTTAATTATCATGAAATTATAACTTGGGACCCACCTCCATGTTCACGGTCTAAACTTCGGTTTTATGACCCACCTTCACGATTAAGGTCCAAACATGGATATTGGGACCCAACTCCACCTACGAGGTCTAAACTTCGATTTTATTACCAATCTTCACGATTAGGGTCTGAATTTAGTTGTTTGGACCCGCCTCCATGTTCACGATCAAAACTTTGCTATATTTGTCCTAAACAGATTTACTTCCACCAGTAAAATGTTGCAGGATCGGTAAACAATGGAAGAGCCACTTGTTTCATTGCCCCTACCTTGACATATGATTTACATACCACGTGACCTTCACAAAATGTTGTCAAAATGAACAATCAACAAGTTTACAGAGTGACGTTGATGGCAGAAACGACTTGATTGAATTAATAGTACAGAAAGAATTGTCATGTAGCCAAGAGAAGCTTTATGATGTTTTCTGAAGCTACATTAACAAAATTCTTGAATCAGTGAGACAAACCTATGAACATGTGTTCAAAATTTCAAACTTTGTAGTGATCGTAAAGAACAAAAAAAAGGTTCTATCCCTCATCATAAACATATCTTACAGTCTAATTCGAACTTGACCCAGGGCCCCGGGCTGTTTCAGAAAGCGGGTCAGATGCTTATGTCAACACTTTCAGAAAAGAGCTTCACACACTGTACCCATATGGGGAATCGAACCCGGGTCTTCAGCGTGACTGTGGTCCGTTTGATTTAATTTGAGACCGATGAATTGCTCACTAACATAAAATCTAACAATTGCAACAAAATCAAATTTTGCAAAGTCACATGAAATCGACAGACCAACTCTGATGATTTGTCTCATAATTTTGGACACCCGAATAAAAAAGTTGTTTAACAAACGATCATTATTTTGTTGTGACTTTTCGCTATTTCTTCGGAGGGAGGACCATTTGCTGTACGCTTTAAGCAGTTGGCTTCCCCACCACCCCAGACAGACAAATGATGGAGTAGAATGCTCTGCCGTTGCATGAGGAGGGAGTAGCTGACACCAGTGTTAAGAGTCTAAGACAAGTGGAATCAATTGCAGATTGAAACACACTATCCTGTCTCCGAGCAGATCAGTTTTATCCCCTAGCGCCTACCAGGGTACCAATAAGTGATATGTTTACTGTATTTTAGCAGAACAGGACTGAGTCCCTGACCCTCTGTTCTCCGTGCAGATGCTCTGTTTGTTATACCCCGGAGGCGGTCGATGCTCGTTATACCCCGAAGGCGGTTGATGCTCGTTATACCCCGAAGGCGGTTGATGCGCGTTATATCCCGACGGCGGTTGATGCTCGTAATACCCCGACGGCGGTCGATGCTCGTTGCATGATGCCCTTTTAGCATAACGTTTGGTACTTTTGCGTTATAACGAGGAATTGTTTCCACACTCACATGTTGAACAGTGCGTTTCCTAATACAGTGCGTGTCCTGATGTGAGACCCATTATAAGTGATTGAGTGATTTGGGTTTTACGCCGCTTTCAGCAGTATTCCAGGAGGAACACCAGAAATGGTCTTCACACATTGTACCCATATTAGGAATCAAACCCGGGTGTTCAGCGTGACGAGCAAACGCTTTAACCACTAGGCTACCCCACCGACCCGAGACACATTTAAACAGAGGCGGGGACTTATAAGAGGTTTATTTGTTGCGATCATTTCACTTGCAGTTACCTGAAAAAGAAACAGATTGGTATTAAAATCAATGTGTAAAAATGTGTGACCATAAAGGGTGTCATAGCATATGTTTTCCAATACAAGGGGGATTATCTATCTAACTGAGTATCATCATTCTCCAAAGTGGAGAGTGTTCATGCTATCAACCACTGATTTGTGCGGCCGAGGCTATATACACACTGTAAAACAGCACTAGTCAGTATTGATACGGATGATGGTTGACTGCTGGTAGTTTTACGCCGCACTCAGTAATATTCATGCTATATGGCGTCAGTCTGTAAATAATCATGTCTGGACCAGACATATTCCAATGATCAACAGCATGAGCATTTGACATAGGACATGTGTCAACCAAGCTAGTCCGATCCCGTTAGTCGCCTCTTACGACAAGCATGAGTTACTAAAGACCAGGTCTAACCCGGATCTTCAAGGGAGACAAGCATGGGTTACTGAAGACCAATTCTAACCCGGATCTTCAAGGAAGACAAGCATGGGTTAATGAAGACCAATTCTAACCCGGATCTTCATGGGAGACAAGCATGGGTTAATGAAGACCAATTCTAACCCAGGTCTAACCCGGATCTTCATGGGAGACAATCATGGGTTACTGAAGACCAGTTCTAACCCGGATCTTCACGGGTAGACAAGCATGAGTTACTGAAGACCAATTCTAACCCGGATCTTCACGGGTAGACAAGCATGGGTTACTGAAGACCAATTCTAACCCGGATCTTCACGGGTAGACAAGCATGGGTTACTGAAGACCAATTCTAACCCGGATCTTCACGGGTAGACAAGCATGGGTAATGAAGACCAATTCTAACCCAGATCTTCACGGGAGACAAGCATGGGTTAATGAAGACCAATTCTAACCTCGTTCAGCAAGGCGATCTTAGCACCACTAGTAGTCAACATAAAGATAATATAAATATATTTATAAGTTAAAAGGCCGCTTCACATGGCGACTTCGTGGATCGGGTGATCGGGTTCGGCAGTGTGTTTGACGGATGTCACCTGACAGTGGGGTTCGTTGTTCACAACATCAATCACTGGTATTTCTGGTCCATACGCGGTTATTTACAGGCCACCGTGATGTAACTATGGTAACGTTGCTGAGTGCGGTGTTGAACATCAAACAACATAAGTGTTGGTGATATACTGTACCCATCTCTCCTAACGGGATGTCCATTTGTCCGTTGGGGGAACACGTCATGCCAGCCTTGCACGGGCAGGTGAAGGCCATTGCTTTAGGTTTTCCTGACGGGTACCTCGCCAGGCAGCCTAGACGAAAACAGGTGAGGTGAGGTGAGGTGAAATGGGATATAGTGTCGCACTTATGAATATTTCACTCATATGACGACGTGCATACGTGTGTATGTGTGGCTGCTTGTACTAGCCCAGACAAAAAGCTGGTTTTATAGGGCTAGCGCACTGAGATACCATGCCGCAGTTAAGCATGAATACCCCACTCAGACACATTATACTGATTCCGAGCCGACCAGTCCTTGTACCCATTAATGCCGAGCGCCAGGCAGGGACCAACAAGTACCATATTTTAACGTCTTTTTGGTATGACACGGCCGGGAATCGAACCCGCGACCTTCCGCTCTCCGGGTGGACTAAACGAAAACAATAAAGTACTTCCGTAATCCAGAACGACCAGGCTAAAAAAGTGGAGTTGCAATTTCGAGCTGCGTTATCGCCATATCGTGTCTTGTTATCGCCATATCGTGTCTTATTATCGCCATATCGTGTCTTGTTATCGCCATATCGTGTCTTGTTATCGCCATGTCGTGTCTTGTTATCGCAATATCGTGTCTTGTTATCGCGATATCGTGTCTTGTTATCGCCATATCGTGTCTTGTTATCGCCATATCGCGTCTTGTCATCGCCATATCGTGTCTTGTTATCGCCATGTCGCATAGGCGAATCCGGAGGGGGTGTGCAGTGCAGGGATGGAAACCTCAATATTGCCAAAGATTATTTTAATTTTTGTATATTGTTAGACAATAACGAGTGTTATAATTCGACATATCAATAACAAGAATTACACATTATGCATTTGCTATTCTGATCAATCGTTTATCCAGAAATGTGCTAATGTAAACAATTGTACTGGGAACATAACGTTCGAAATAACGAACATTGACGTCGTTTATTTATACAATGCGTCGTTCTCACTGTATGGCTGGCTAAAATGATCGATAACGGAAAAATCGTTGATAGGAAAAATTATTAATGGTTACCGATAATATTGTGTACTTATCGTAACTTTTTTGTGAAAGAAAAAAGGTTTAATTTTCTCACACAATATGCAAATTTAGAACTTTTTTCATGGTCTGCTTCTAAATTATGTTCAGGATGCTGTTTTGTAAGCGATCCATGCAAAAACATGTCACCACTCACCGGTGATGATAAATATGTCGATTTCTTTCAGACATTTATTTACATATTTGCTCAAAGTTACCCCTTCTATATTTATCATCGATCGATATCTAATTAATGGTTATCGATGTCTATGATATCTATATATATCGATAGCCAACCCTAGTACTCACTAGTGCCGGTGGTGCCGAGGGGTTCACACACTCCCCCACCCCCGAGCTGCCTCTTGCCCAGCGGCCTCATTCTGGATCTACAACACTCGTCAGGGCCACAGTCCGCACCGCTCTGACACGACGTAGGGGTCGACAGTTTCGTAGCCTGGCGACAGGCACCTGTAGCAAAATGCGTTCCTTTGATTATTTTAATTGTTACATCGATGTGAGGAATTTCCAGATACGGTATTCACTTATTTAGACCTAGTCAGTGGCGGAAGAGACGGGCGTGTTGCTGCGTGGTGTCTTGGTGCTCTGGGGAGATGGAGATGGGAAGGGGATGTATGGCTACACTGCTCCAGGAGGAACGGTCGTTCCGCATTAAGCATGCCACGGTGAAGGCAACGCACTATATTCAGTAGTAGACATCGTCGTCGTTGTCGTCATCGTCGTCGTCCTAGTAGTAGTAGTAGTAGTAGTAATAGTAGTGTGTAGTAGTAGTGGTGGTAGAAGTAGTAGTAGTAACAGTAGGAGTAGTTGCAAATTAGCCGTTTGTAAGTATTTTGATACATGGTTCCCATCCGACAAACACACACACACCTCCACTCACACACGTCTACACATTCTCCACTCACTCACTCTAACACACACACCTCCACTCACAGACGTCTACATGCTCTCCACTCGCTCACTCTAACACACACACACACCACTCACACACGTCTACGCGATCTCCACTCACTCACTCTAAAACACACACACAACTCCACGCACACACATCTACATGCTCTCCACTCACTCACTCTCTCACACAACCACACCTCCACACACACTTCTACACTTTCTCCACTCACTCATTCTAACACACGCACACCCCACTCACACACGTCTACACGTTCTCCACTCACTCACTCTAAAACACACACACACACACACAAACATCTCCACACACGTCTACATGTTGTCCACTCACTCTAAAACACACACACCTCCACTCACACACGTCTACATGCTCTCCACTCACTCACTCTAACACACACACACCTCCACTCACACACGTCTACATGCTCACCACTCACTCACCACTCACTCACTCTAACACACACATCCACTCACTCACTCTAACACACACATACACCTCCACTAAACACGTCTACACATTCTCCACGCACATGCACACGCACGCACGTACTAGACTGTTTGCTACTCAACGTGAGTGCACTGCAGTTTATGGAGGAGTGTCCGTACCGACGGTCCCCTGGGGGATCTCCATGTATCCCAGAGACTCGCACTTCTGTCCTGCAGCACATGGACACTTGTTGGTGTAAACTCCATTGTCGTAGAACCGGTTCTCCACGTAACACCCTGGAACAAATCAACAGCCAGGTGGTACCAACAATATGGTAACACCCTGGAACAAATCAACAGTCACGTGGTACCAACAATATGGTATTTGTAGATCTATTACACCCTGGAACAACTCAACTGACAGTTAGTTGGTACCAACATTATGGTATTTGTAGATCTATTACACCCTGGAACAACTCAACCGACGGTTAGTTGGTACCAACAGTATGGTATTTGTAGATCTATTACACCCTGGAACAACTCAACCGACGGTTAGTTGGTACCAACAGTATGGTGTTTGTAGTTCTATAACACCCTGGAACAACTCAACTGACAGTTAGTTGGTACCAACAATATGGTATTTGTAGATCTATTACACCCTGGAACAACTCAACCGACGGTTAGTTGGTACCAACAGTATGGTATTTGTAGATCTATAACACCCTGGAACAACTCAACCGACGGTTAGTTGGTACCAACAGTATGGTATTTGTAGATCTATTACACCCTGGAACAACTCAACCGACGGTTAGTTGGTACCAACAGTATGGTATTTGTAGATCTATTACACCCTTGAACAACTCAACTGACAGTTAGTTGGTACCAACAGTATGGTATTTGTAGATCTATAACACCCTGGAACAACTCAACTGACAGTCAGGTGGTACCAACAGTATGGTATTTGTAGATCTATAACACCCTCGAACAACTCAACTGACAGTCAGGTGGTACCAACAGTATGGTATTTGTAGATCTATTACACCCTGGAACAACTCAACTGACAGTCAGGTGGTACCAACAGTATGGTATTTGTAGATCTATAACACCCTCGAACAACTCAACTGACAGTCAGGTGGTACCAACAGTATGGTATTTGTAGATCTATTACACCCTGGAACAACTCAACTGACAGTCAGGTGGTACCAACAATATGGTATTTGTAGATCTATTACACCCTGGAACAACTCAACCGACGGCTAGTTGGTACCAACAGTATGGTATTTGTAGTTCTATAACACCCTGGAACAACTCAACTGACAGTTAGTTGGTACCAACATTATGGTATTTGTAGATCTATTACACCCTGGAACAACTCAACCGACGGTTAGTTGGTACCAACAGTATGGTATTTGTAGGTCTATAACACCCTGGAACAACTCAACCGACGGTTAGTGGGTACCAACAGTATGGTATTTGTAGATCTATAACACCCTGGAACAACTCAACTGACAGTCAGGTGGTACCAACAGTATGGTATTTGTAGATCTATAACACCCTGGAACAACTCAACTGACAGTCAGGTGGTACCAACAGTATGGTATTTGTAGATCTATAACACCCTGGAACAACTCAACTGACAGTCAAGTGGTACCAACAGTATGGTATTTGTAGATCTATTACACCCTCGAACAACTCAACTGACAGTCAGGTGGTACCAACAGTATGGTATTTGTAGATCTATTACACCCTGGAACAACTCAACTGACAGTCAGGTGGTACCAACAGTATGGTATTTGTAGATCATAATATACACCTACATAGATACATTCTTTATTTACATATATTTTTTTTTTATTTTTGCTCCAGAAAGAATATTGAGACTCTATTTCGGCGTTTACTCACGCGACTTGGACGCCTCCGTCCCCTTCAGCTGGCATTGTCCCGATGTCGCTCGTTTCCCCTTCATGGGAACAATGGCAAGACAGCACTCATCCCTCCCGCAGTCGCTCTCAGACTTGCAGGCCGTGCCCACAGCAGCCTCGGCCACGCCCACAATCTACGGGAGGTAACTCATCGGACAACACGAACTTCATCAATGTGTTTACAATGAAGCATACATTTCCGTACGGCAGATTTAAATCATGGCCCGGTGAGCATTTTGAGTCGCATGCTTAACGTTTTCCCCATCAGCAGGAGGGGAAGTTAAGAATGATTATGTACCGGTGTGTGTGTGTGCGACACTGCGTACGTTCGTGCGTGTACATTACATCATTGAGAGTTGGAGGAAGGATTGACAAATAAAATCCCCAAATTACCTGAACGGGGAATGGTAAAAAGGAAATTTCTCCACTGAGTTGTACGTTGAATCAGGAATGTCGACATATCTAGTTTCTAGTTTGCTTATCGCAAACCGGTCCATGGTACCGAAAATATATTTTCTAATCTACTTCCAAACCATTCTAAAGTATACCAGATAAGGAAATACACTGATTAAACAAAACACGTGATAAAACAGATGTACTGGATACAAGACCGTATTCCATTCCAAAGTATAATTCATTGAGAATTACGTTATTTGGGTATATTTTTTAATCAAGAGAATATTTTTAAAAACCTGTGTTACAGTCTCTAAAAATACTGAGAGCGGATCAGCGCCCTCTACCGATAGTCTTGTAGTTAATCGGATATTCATGTCCTACTGTGCGTGCTGTCATTTGAAATACATATTAAGGAATAAAGAATTACCATGAGTCCAACGAAGAGTAACATGCTTTGCCAGAGGTTGTGATGAAATGAAGAAACCTGATTGTCTGTTTCAGTTTCAGGGCCGATAACTCGGGTGTGGCCTTATCTTTGACCAACGTGGTGGTTCTCACAAACGTCAGACCATTGTGAGACCTGAATCCAGGACATGCTGATACAAGCTTTGAAGCCGAACGAATAAAATGAACACGTGTAGCGTCCTGACTTTAAACTACTTGTGGTTACTTTCTGCAAGGAAACTATACTTTGCTAACATGTGATGGGACGCTGAGGGTAGATAGATGGAACTCTGAGGGTAGATAAAGGGGACTCAGAGGGCAGATAGAGGGGACGCTGAGAGAAGAAGAAATGTAGTTTATTAGAGTGTCACATGCTGCAATTTATTAAAAAAGAAGACAGAGGGGAAGCTGAAACGAGAGATAGATGGGTGGGTGGCCGGGTGCAAACTTGACTCCTTCCTTGAGGGATTCTGCCTCACTCTGTAGCACATGTGTCGCCTGAAGTAAGTGGCTTTGTTCGAAACTTGTCTCTACCCACCCGGCAGTCAATGGGTACCGGGTATGGTGAGACGGAAATACGACAGTTAACCTTCCAGCGTCTAAGCGGTAGCTTGGATTGTATACCCCTAAAAGAGATCAGAATCGTAATTTCCAGTTAAGATTCGGGTTAGAATTGGTCTTCAGTAACCCATGCTTGTCTCCCGTGAAGATCCGGGTTAGAATTGGTCTTCAGTAACCCATGCTTGTCTCCCGTGAAGATCCGGGTTAGAATTGGTCTTCAGTAACACATGCTTGTACCCAGTGAAGATCTCGGTAAGAAGTGATCTTCAGTAACCCATGCTTGTCGTAAGAGGCGACTAACGGGATTGGGTGACTTGGCGCATTACTGTCCTTATTCAACTCTAGATCTATTCTATCCTAGGAATGACAAACACTGGAACACATTTAACCTCGGATCAATCACTCATCTGCGCATAAACTAACACATGTTGTTGAGTCACATTGCATCAAGGTAATGGTGACCTGTAGGTCAGCGTAGCAAGGTAAACTTGTATACGGGAATGTTTTAAGTGTTTAAAATGAAATCTGAAAGTTTTAAAGGCTCCAGGTCCTAAACGACAGGGACTATACACACATATAAGCATCATTTATAGATGTATATTTCGCAATATGTTCCCTCTTAATTTCTCACGTATGTCATTTCACACTGGGGCTCCATTCACGAAGCAACCTTTACTAAGGTTAACCTTAACTCCCATTCTTTAACATTGCACTTAGGTTACCTTAGTGACTTACGATCACCTTGGCGCTTTGTGAAAGAAGGCCCAGGGTGCCGTTGTACAAAGCAATCTTAGCGCTAAGGTGACCGTAACTCCCATACCTTAACGGAGACTAAGGTAGTCTTAGCGCTAAGGTGACCGTAACTCCCATACCTTAACGGAAACTAAGGTAGTCTTAGCGCTAAGGTGACCGTAACTCCCATACCTTAACGGGGACTAAGGTAGTCTTAGCGCTAAGGTGACCGTAACTCCCATACCTTAACGGAGACTAAGGCAGTCTTAGCGCTAAGGTGACCGTAACTCCCATACCTTAACGGAGACTAAGGCAGTCTTAGCGCCAAGGTGACCGTAACTCCCATACCTTAACGGAGACTAAGGCAGTCTTAGCGCTAAGGTGACCGTAACTCCCATACCTTAACGGAGACTAAGGTGGTCTTAGCGCTAAGGTGACCGTAACTCCCATACCTTAACGGGGACTAAGGCAGTCTTAGCGCCAAGGTGACCGTAACTCCCATACCTTAACGGAGACTAAGGCAGTCTTAGCGCTAAGGTGACCGTAACTCCCATACCTTAACGGAGACTAAGGTAGTCTTAGCGCTAAGGTGACCGTAACTCCCATACCTTAACGGGGACTAAGGTGGTCTTAGCGCTAAGGTGACCGTAACTCCCATACCTTAACGGAGACTAAGGTAGTCTTAGCGCTAAGGTGACCGTAACTCCCATACCTTAACGGAGACTAAGGCAGTCTTAGCGCTAAGGTGACCGTAACTCCCATACCTTAACGGAGACTAAGACAGTCTTAGCGCTAAGGTGACCGTAACTCCCATACCTTAACGGAGACTAAGGAAGTCTTAGCGCTAAGGTGACCGTAACTCCCATACCTTAACGGAGACTAAGGTGGTCTTAGCGCTAAGGTGACCGTAACTCCCATACCTTAACGGAGACTAAGGCAGTCTTAGCGCTAAGGTGACCGTAACTCCCATACCTTAACGGAGACTAAGGTGGTCTTAGCGCTAAGGTGACCGTAACTCCCATACCTTAACGGAGACTAAGGTGGTCTTAGCGCTAAGGTTGTTTTGTACAACAGCACCCTGGTGTCGTAAAGGATACTGTATTTCTTTTGGAAATATACTTGGAAAAAAGCACGAAGGGGAACGTCACAGTCGGTATGTACATGTAGTCGATATAGAAAATCATAAACCTGGTGGTTTCAGAATCTTGCAATATTTATTATTCCTAATTCATTGCAAACAATTACCATCGTAAATTGTTGAAATTTACTTAACTGAATATTATGTAAACACTATGTTGTTTTTATTTAGTGAATAAACAAATGAGCGTGGTGAGAGGCTTGGCTCTGTAATTCAGATCAATTCTTTATTGTATGAAAGGCCATAGGCCCATATACAAAAGAGATACATCTTAACAATGGCATATATAATCAACTATCTAGCTAATCAATTTTTTTCTCAACAAAAATGCATTGTAGATAAATAGGGCAACTTTGTGTTGTTTTGGAGGTTCTTTGCAGGAAAGTAAGGAAGACAATAAATTAACATTGATTTGAGATAAAGACAGTTGCGGTAGATACTTATTTCTTAGATTTTCATATACAGGACAAATAAACATAAAATGGAATTCGTCTTCAATAATGTAACAGAATGGGCATGACCGTTCGGTTTTTCCATAGAAACATATCTTCCACGTTTAATTAATTTATCATTAAGGCCTAATCTAAACCGTATAAAAGCATTGCGAACATTTCTGTATTGAAAGTGAGCAAGATAACACTCTGGCTCAAGCAACGACTTAAATTGACGATATGAATCATATCTAGAACTTTCATTAATAGTTGAATGCCATTCCTGCCTTAAACATATCAATAGCCCGCATACGAAACTGTCTAATAAACATATTTACTTTGCCAACTGTCTGTGATAACCAAATACAACCAAAACCATATCTAAATAGTAAGATGCGAATATGAGATGTCCAGTTATTCTTTCCAAGATAATCAAGATGTAAAAGCATATTGAAAGCTTTTTTAGGTAAACGATGTTCAGGCATATTAATTATTTCACACCAATATTTTAAACAACGACAATAAGATGATATGTACAATGGGAACCTCCCACATTCACCATAAACCATAGTATGTGGTGTTGACAAACCAACATTTAGAAACTTTTTACAGGCAAGCAAATGAATTATTTCTATGGTATAATACTCTTTAAAACCCCATCTTTCAGATCCACACAGTAAAATTGGTTGTATCTGAGAGTGAAATAATTTGAAGTAATAGTCGGTGGAATAACACCGAGCATAGGAACAACAGAGTCAAGTTGAAAAAGAGCTTTTTTCCCCCTCGCCAGCTTAAGTACGGACTTATTCAGATTCAGCGTATGGGTAACTAATACGCCAAGATATTCATAATCATTCACAACATTCATACGTTTATCTTTAAAAACCCATTTCTCTCTAGCCGACAAAAGGACAACCTCTACGGAATATAACAATATTTGTTTTATCTAGATTCACACTCAACTGCCATTTATCTGTATACGCTGAGAGTATCTGTACATGTAATTGATTTTGAAGACCAATTACAGAGCTGGACATAAGAATGACATCATCAGCAAAGAATAACATGAAAAGTTCGATTAGATCGCGAGAAAGTTGGATACCATGTTTACCAGACTTCATGATATCTAAATATAATTCGATAATGAAAAAAGAGAAAAGTAGAGGACATGAAACACATCCTTGACGCAGACCAACAGGACAAACGAAAAAGTCACTTCTACCATTGCCACAGCGGACACATGATTTTACATTGGAATACATCGATCTTATGATACCATACATTTTATCCCCCAAGCCCCTATTTCTTAAGTATTTCCACATTCTACCTCTGTCTACAGAATCAAACGCCTTTTTTGAAATCTACAAAAGCTACATACAACTTTCGCTCGCCAAAGGATTAATATCTGGCAAAAATAACATACAAGGTAAATATATGACCAAATGTTGAGCAGTCGTTTCTAAATCCTGCTTGAGATTCCGGTATTAAATCTCTCATATTCGACCAATGTGTTAACATGCTGTTGACAATAGATGTAAAAGTTTTACCTAGAATACTAGTCAGCGAAATACCCCTATAATTGTCAGGATTTTGTGCATTTCCGTTTTCATATAACGGGATAATAATAGATTGTGCCCAGACGGAAGGAAAACGACCTGTATCAAATACTCGATTGAACATTTTAACCAGGAAGGGCATAATGTCATGTAATGAGTATTTCAACATTTCTGAAATAACACCATCAACTCCAGCAGATTTACCAACTTTAAGACGAGACACAGTATCCAATATATCATATTCCGTAATAGGTGATTCCAGCACAAGCCTATCAACATCATTATACTCTTCTTTTAGCACATCGCTGTCACAATCTGATAACCAATTGTCAACGTCGTAAGCAATATCTTCCTTGGAAATGAGATTCTTAAAATGACATAGCCATTTCGTTTGCAATATATTTCCTATGGGGGTACAGCGAACTTTGCAGAGAACGCACATGTTTCCAAAATAGTTTCGGGCTGTTTAGGGAGTTATTAAGTCGCTCAAGTCTTGACGATTGGATATCACTTTCTGCAAGAAGATTTATAAATGTTTCTAAGTCTGCAGTAACCTTTACGATTATATTCACTCCGACATCGAATAAACTTTTTAGGGCTTTCCTGCTTTCTTTCCTCGCTTGTCTACAAGTTTTATTCAGTTTAGGTTAACTAGTTCCAGGATCAAAATGCTTCATTTGTCTTTTCACATTTGAAGCTGAATGAAGAAGACGATGTACAAAATCTGCAATGCCCTCTTCATGGGAATTTTCAAGTTTAGTTAATAAAGAATTATCATTGATATGCAGCATCTGTCTCAATGATGCAGTAATTAAGTCTATCTTCGATTCATCCCAGACAAATCTAAAGTCAGCGTCATGATCATCACAATCTACAGTACGCTTAGCATGACTGCTTAAAGGAAACCCGCAAGATAACTCAAGAGGGAAATGGTCAGAGTCTAACCGATCACCAACATCTAGCATTTCTACAAACTCAAAAAAACTAACAGATGCAAGGAAGTAATCAACAACACTAGAACTCCTTTCTCCTACATAGGTAAACTCGCCGCCTTTGTCACCTTCAACTCTCCCGTTCAATATATACAGACGACAAACATAACACAAATCCAATAAAATGCGTCCAAATCTATTAATAGTAGAGTCATGTGACGCCCGCTGCTCGACAGGGGCATTGTCTTCATCAATATATACATCTTCATTACCAAAGTCTACACTTTGCTCAAAGATTGGATTATCTTATGGCTACGGTCTGTAAGGAAATGCACTTTGAGGTAATATCTACGAATATCTCTGAAGGCTTAACACGTTCATAGGGCGGACAAGTTGAAATGCGTTCGAGAAGGGAAGGTGCGGTACAACAACATGAGAAAACTTACCAGCAAAATAACAGACATCATTGAGGAGCTTGTAGATCGCGACCTAACGTTACAGAGGTCAACCAATCAGAACTGTCAGACCGATTGGGCGCAATGGTTTGGTGATTCCACAGTTCAACCACCACGTAGCGGGAATGTTGCCGAGTGTGGCGTTAAAGAACAACCAAACAAACCACAGGACAAATTATGTTGGGGAAACTGTACATAGGCAGATGTCGTGTACGCCATCTTGTTAGCAATCCTTTTCCATAAATAATTTCAAAACGCTGTAAAGTGCATAAAAACGTGGATATATCGGATAATACTCTGAACTTTGGTGACGCCTTGTTCTAGCTCGAGGCCTGGCTGCCTACCTTCCTGAAACTAGCCACAAGTGTTAAAATAGTACTGACTTTGGTTACCATACCCAACACATACGGGAAGAATAGTCACACCCGATCGCGAGAAGTCACACCTGAGAAATCAGTCATCCATACCGCAGAGAATACAATGTATTATGAACAGGAGTCGAACTGGTCTTGAATAACTTGGCAAGTCCAGATTCCTCAGCTCTTATTCCTTTCAGCAGATATGTCTTTAGATAAGATCAACTTTACTTCTGGAGCTTGTTTCCCGAGATAAACGTGTCCACTTACCAATACCAAGGCCTAGTATTCACAAGGCTGTCACATCAACGGGCGTTGCCCTCGACGACGATTATTTTAAAGGGGCGGTAGGGTAGCCTAGTGGTTAAAGTGTTCGCTCGTCAGACAGAAGACCCCGGTTCGATTCCCCACATAGGCACTATATATGAAGGCCATTTCTGGTGTCCACCGCCGTGATATTGCTAAAATATCACTCACTATCTCACTTTAAGGCCGTCTCCAAGCAACGCATTCCGATTTTGACGTCCTTTCACGAACAATGTAACGTTCTTGACATAATCTTCAGTGCCACTACACCCGAAATTAATGGTGACGTGGCATATACTATCTCATAGGTACTTCTCCTTTCTGGCAGATACATATTTCTTCAGCGGGGACATCCTAGTCGATGATACGGCTTTTCGTTTGGAGTGAATTTGCGAAGGTTAGCACAAATAATCGGCAGGTTAATTTGCGTCTCATGGTGTCAATTTTATGAAAGCAGGTGCTAGTTTGTGTGCTAAAATTGGTATGTTTACATTTCGTAAAAAGGAGGACCGTGAAGATACGGCTTAGAATTGGTCTGCAGCAACCCATGCTTGTGGTAAAGGGCGACTTACGGGATCGGGTGGTCAGGCTCGCTGACTTCGTTGGTCTATGTCATCGTAATGATCGTATCCCAGTTACATAGATCGATGCTTATGATGTTGATCACCGGACTGTCTGGTCAAGACTGGATTATTTACAGACAGCCGCCATATAGATTGAATATTGCTGAGTGCGATGTTAAACAAAAAACAAACAATCGTACAGTTTACAAATCTCCATCATTAATAGTCTTTTTCAGTGTTACGATTTAAGTTGTCATTTTCTAAGATTAATGCCAATGTCAGGCTTACAACTACCTTTGGATAAATCAACACATTTATTTTTATTGTTACGTGTTAACTCCATCGTTCGTGTGTGAGACCCTCTCCGACAAGCACTCAATATGCATAGACGGTGCAACGCAATCGCATCCTAACTGCTGCACACATTCATCACAACTCACCCCTTTCGTTTACTCCAAGAACATCGGTATTCGGCTTGTCCCGGAGTAACATGAGTAGCTCACGAATGGGCTGCATTAAGGAGTGAGTTACGTTTTACGCCGCTTTTAGCAATATTTCAGCAATATCACGGAGGGGGACACCAGAAATGGACTTCATACATTGTACCCAAGTGCGGAATCGAACTCGGGTCTTCGACGTGACGAGTAAACGCTTTACCCACTAGGCTATCCCATCGCCCCACTTCAAAGAAGGTCTGCAGGCGAATGACAACCCGTTTTTACATGTAATACGAAATACTAATAATAAGTCTTTTATTGCGTCAATAGGAAGCTAAAGTGAGCGCATATCCCCTAATATATAAAATATAGGCCAAAATATTGTCGGAAATGTGTGACAGTGTGCCTTTAAGATATCTTGAATGAAAACAGAGATATCTTGAATTGAATTGGAGATATCTTGAAATGAATCAAAGATATCTCGAATAGAGATAATTTTTGCCGTTCTTTCCTGTTATTTTCATTATTGATATCAATAATTGATTAAAAGATATCTTCAAAATTATTAATGACATCTTTAATTTGATTTTAGATATCAGTAACGGCCAGGACTGAGGATATCGCTAATTGAATTGAAGATATCTCTAACTGAGTCAAATCAGGGAGACTATACAACGTAGATTATCCCTGGTCAAATATATCAGCAATGCGTTTGTGGATATCTGCAATATTTTTCCCAATAAAACTTGAATTAAAGATATCTTGAATTAATTTCCACCACAATCGTAATTATTTTATTGATACACGTTCAGATATATCATGAAATATTTTCTTGATATCTGTTACATTTTAAGATATATGTAATCATTTTTTGGATATGAGCAATTGATTAAAGATACATTCTATTTATTTACCAGTATTGATATCTTTAAATAGAATGCAGATATCACTAATTTCTAAAGATATTTCAAAAACAGCTTGCCATAAGAGCGTTCCACCGAAGGCACACCAAATAAACGTAGAGACTAGGTTTCCGTCCAGCAAGCGGTCACGCACTTTTGCTTCGAAACCAGTTTTAATCCAGTTGTCGTAATACCGTCCTTGCACTTCATATTAAACATAATATTGGTTTGGGATGCGTAAGTAATACATCTTATAGACGCATTTTATATTGATTAAGTTATTCACTTATGTTTTTACGTTAACTTAGTTATGATTTACAAGTCTCTATAACGACATTACGTGAAATGCCGATTGTCGGATCATTTCCTGTCTCTTTATCTCGTCTGTCTCTCTCTCCGAACACGCATACACATGATCTCTGCATACACCCACCTAACACACAACGCATGCATCTCTTTCTTAAGCTGATTGTTGAAATGCCATGTTCAGCTGTAATGACGATGTTTGCAAACTGAGACATGCATTCTTTGACTGTCTTACGGCGGGAAAACGAACGCGTCGGTGACCATTAGTTTTCAATCCGAACAGCGTCATGGCGGATCGACAATCAGTTTGCTTATGGCATCACACGTGATGATTAAAGGCGAATGTGAGGGGAGGCATGCACTACCGTGCAAGTCATGACCCATGAATTATACTCTTGGTCTGATGTGATTCCGCCATAAATTATGTAATTAGAAACAGTGAATGGCGTGGTCGGCGAATTTGGCAAGTTGACCACATGTGAATCCTTTCAACCACCGGATCACTGTGTCCATTCTTCGTTGATTATGTTGGCTTCTCGTACCATTATCAATTAATTTCTCTGAGACCTGGACATTATCCTTTATTCTTGTTCCCCTTTAGTCTTGTATGTATGGACATCTCTGAAGCCAGCGAAATTACTTCATAGAATAAATCCTACTGGGGATTTCATTCATGCTACAACAATCGAATGCTTCCTGCTTTGCTACTTTCCATGCTGATATGCAGAAAATCTAATATTTTATTGTGTCCTGATTCACATCCTTAATGTATAGCACCAGTTATTGCGATATTACAAATGCAATGTATTATTTAAACTTGCTTACAGCAACATTTCATTTACATCCAGCAGCCTGATATAACAGCTTCTGGAGCCATTAACTATATTAATAATAAATAATGATAATAGTAATAGTTATTTATATCACATCTGTTTCTAGGCTACACACAAATCTTGCCTACGTCTTTGATCCTTTTGGTTTAGGGTAGTTAACTCACAAGAACAAAGGCAATGTGTGTTGGATCTTCCACTTGATGCTTATTCAAATCTGAAAAGGGTGTGTCTATCATTTCAAACTTCGTTGTATGTTCTTCTACCGTTGCTTTGCTTCATACGAACATACAAACATGTAAATAGGTTACACAAATAATGTGTTAAATCATTATTTTCTTATTTTGAGCGAAAATATTTATCTCTGCACAGATAATGACCAATTGTTTCTGGAAACTTCAATTTAATATTGCATCAACCCAGGGTTTAAAGATGAAATATTAGGTAGTCCTACAATCAAACAACTATTCAATCAGTCGATGGCCATTCCATTCAGGGCAGAGTTGCACAGCTTCTTCCTTTTCTGCAATACTATCATCCTTGTCACTGATGTTCCTTCATCAGGTCTTCCTGCTGCTGGAGTAGAGCACCCACAAGCAGATGCCCCCTGACACCACAACACTGGTCCTGTAATATAATTAATTAATGTCCCATCCATAAAAACTATTAGGCAATACACCAAAAAACTCTTGCACAATCTTAGTTATGATTATAAATATTTTGCATTTATAGAGCGAAACCTGCAATTAAAATGACACAATACTAAGATATATATTTCTCTTTATAAAATAACAGATCATACATTTTTAAGATCACTGCATCAAAATTCATCTTGTCTTATTATTGGGTAGGTTTTAACTGAATCATCCCTGTAACCCATAGATAAGCCAACCCCCTTCTACAGACTGCTATTTTTGGTCCTCAAAATTCGGCTTATCTACGGTAATATACTGAGAGAGACAAATAAAGGAACATTCAAGCATTTTCTTCTTTCTTTCCATATTTCCTCATCAGCTCTTAGTAGTGGTGTGGGAGGATATCTGAGAATAAATAAAGGAACACTGCCATGAAGAGGTGGTCCCTTATTTGTTTCCCTCAGTATATTTTTTGTTTCACATGCCATTCAGTGTGTATGAGATTTGCCAGTGAACCAATCCTAGCAGGTCACCACAGCCTCTGACCACATGCCCTGGGAGAGTGAGTTTAGTTTATTGCCACTTTCAGCAATATTCTAGCAATATCAAGGCAGGGTATACCAGAAATGGGCCTGTCACATTGTACCCATGAAGGGAATTGAAAACCTGGGTCTTAGGCATGACGAGCGAGCACTTTAACCACATGACTACCCCACCACCACTCACATACTCTGGTGACAGGGCGTTGCCAATACAGGGATTGACTTGATTATGTTCAGGCTTCACCCAAGCAAGTAAAACGTGTATGGCAGTAGTCAATATTTCAAGTATTTAATAAGCTTTCTATGGAGTGTATCTAGTAAATCAGTTCTCAACATACATATAAACAGAGGCCCAGATAAGCTACATATCCGAGTAAAATATGCATAGAAAATTCAATATACGCATTGAAAAATAATTGTTGCATACCAATTACGCATTTAAAATGTTAGATACGCAAAACAAATTCAATTCGTACAGAATTTATTTATAAAAATCGCTTGTGTAATGAAAAAGACTGATTGCTATCAAGTTTTACTGTTAGTATAGGATTAGTGTTGTACTGTCAGTATAAGATGGGTGATTGTTTTATGAAATCATTTCCATTATATTTAAGTTGGTTTTGATTAGGTATGACATATGGCAGAACATACCTGCTTTGTAATCTTACTCAAAGACATAATGTTTAGGTGAGTAAAATGACTGAAATACGCACATATTTGAAAGCAGTGGGTAACGGAAAATGAAATACCCACTCAGCATTCATAATACCCACTCCCCAAAAATATAGTGGGTACAGTACCCACATGAGGTAAATCTTATCTGGAGCTCTGATAAACAAGTAAGTTTTTATGCTCGTGATTCAGTTAGGTAGACCAAACACTTGAGCACACCAATAAATCTATGAATGAAAATGTCAGTCAAAATGCAATCATCTGTCAACACATTCCACCAGTCATCCAGCATGCGAGCAGTTGGAGATGAAAGCAGGGGTTCATAATCCCATCGCCCGACGCCCCGGGACAAGTCAGTTTTCATTTCGGGCAATAAAATAATGGTATCTTACTTGTCCGTGGTCTACTAGATAATTTCCACTTATGGTTTCAAACTGCAAATAAACTTGGATTTAATTTCATATCTGCTCAAAATGTAGCTATTCAATTTCGCAATAATAATGAAGTAGAGTTTTCTTTCTTTGCTATTGATCACTTTTCAATAAATAGTCCGGTAAACATTAACATCAAATACCATGTTGATTTATTCTTTCATAATTACATCATCATTATTATTTCATAAAATCAGGGCAAGTGGAAAAATAGTCAGGACAAGTTACTTTCTTAAAGTCACTTGCCCTGTGGCAAGTGACTTTGGCAAGTGACTTTTTAAGAAAATTTTGAACCCCTGTGAAAGATATTTATTCAGTTTGCTGTTAGGAATCTACTGCTGGCAGTGACAGTAATTTGATTGCCAATATTTTGAAGGTGCAACCAATATTTTGATGGTGCAACAATATAAATTCACTTGGTTGCAGCAGGTTCGGGTACTGAATCAAAACTGAAAACTTACTCCGCATTAGAATCAAGTTTGAATAACAAGACCACTGAGCCAACCATCAGGTAAAATACTATTCATACTTTGCGAGTGGCAACAAACTAGTCTCTGTGACTATGTTGTCTGTGTATATCCCAGCTGTGTGGGTCCATGCTCAGTATTCCAATCACTTGATTGCCTGGTCTACTTACTGTAGCTGGAGTCAGTGAGTGACTATGGTTTTACGTCGCTTTTTGCGATATTCCAGCGGGGGGACGAGAAATGGGCTTCACACATTGTACTCACGTGAATAATTCAACCCGGTACTTCAGTGACAAGCAAACGCTTTAACCACTTGGCTACCCCACTACCCCTCTTGAACATAGCTGAGTGTGGCATTACATAACAGAGAAACAAATATAACAACTTATCATGATTACATGAAGCATCGAGCTGGAATATTGTTGAAGAAGCTTAAAACCCTAGTGTACTGCTTCACCACCTGTGACAGAGTGTTGTTACTGTCCCTGTAGGAACTCACCATAATGCTCTTCTGACTACCGGGGAATGTCTCCAAACACTGTAGTAACACACTCGGATCTGGTCATGCTTTTTGAAATTCTCCAGGATGTCCTTAGCACTGAAACAAACATGGGTGTGTTCAAGGCAACAGCGAAACATGGACGATTAAGTTTGTCGGCCTTGACTCTACAATGAAAATCCTTTCTGTCTCAGCTTACCGTGAGTGGTAAATACAGAAATGATGCAGGTCAAGCTCACTACTCACCACCTGTAGTTCCCATGGCAACCAGCCCACACTGCATTCACTACTCACAATCTGTAGTTTCCCATGGCAACCAGCCCACACTGTGCAATCACTACTCACCATCTGTAGTTTCCCATGGCAACCTTCCCACACTGTGTGATCACTACTCACCATCTGTAGTTTCCCATGGCAACCAGCCCACACTGTGCAATCACTACTCACCATCTGTAGTTTCCCATGGCAACCTTCCCACACTGTGTGATCACTACTCACCATCTGTAGTTTCCCATGGCAACCAGCCCACACTCTGTGATCACTACTCACCACCTGTAGTTCCCATGGCAACCAGCCCACACTATGTGATCACTACTCACCATCTGTAGTTTCCCATGGCAACCAACCCACACTGAGTGATCACTACTCACCATCTGTAGTTTCCCATGGCAACCAACCCACACTGTGTGATTGCTACTCACCACTTGTAGTTTCCAATGGTAACCAGTCCACACTGCATTCACTACTCACCATCTGTAGTTTCCCATGGCAACCAGCTCACACTGTGTTCACTACCCACCATCTGTAGTTCCCATGGCAACCAGTCCACACTGTGTGATTGCTACCCACCATCTGTAGTTTCCCATGGCAACCAGTCCATACTGTGGTCACTACTCACCACCTGTAGTTTCCCATGGCAACCAGCCCATGTGATTGCTACTCACCACCTGTAGTTTCCCATGGCAACCGGTCTACTATGCGATCACTACTTACCACCTGTAGTTTCCCGTGGCAACCAGCCCACGCTGTGCACTCATCAACCTCACGTCTACAGAACCGTACGGTGAAAACCACTGTGCCAGCTGGTATAGAAGAAGGTTGTGTTAGAATTCTAAAAGTACAAATGTGCTGAGGACTGTCACTATTAATCTCAAGCAAGGATTGATGGTCCATATAGAACAGAATCAAACAATTCAATATTTTTCAGATAAACTTGGTCCAACCATGAATATTACTGATTTTCCAAATTTGATATTCTGAAATTTCCTTGAAAACTTGTCAAATTTTGGTGGATCAAACAAATTATTATATGATTAGAAATCAAAAAAATTTCAACATGTAAAACATCTACAACAGACCTATTCCTAGATTTTATCACCTGCTCTGCACTAAGGCTGTGGCCAATCCTTCGAGACTTGACATACAGCAGCTCGGGTTTCCTGGACGGAGGATCAGCAGCATCAAGTCTCTGGAACACACACACAAGTGTTGTACTGTAAACAGTGTTGGAATCACATACCACTCTCAAACAAGAAATGATACATTATTTGCTACTATAAATGACATGATGTCACAGTAGTGATGTACTTGGAGGAGCTACTCAGCATTGTATCTTAAGACTTACTAATTCAGGTGCTAAAGATTTCTAGATTACCAGGGTGCTGGCGTAGCCTAATGGTTGCCGTAAAGAAGACCTGCTTGTGTTCTACAGTATTACCGGTAGCGGTGGGGTAGCCTAATGGTTGCCTTAAAGAAGACCTGCTTGTGTTCTACAATATCACCGGGGCGGTGGGGTAGCCTAATGGTTGCCTTAAAGAAGACCTGCCTGTGTTCTACAATATCACCGGGGCGGTGGGGTAGCCCAATGGTTGCCTTAAAGAAGACCTGCTTGTGTTCTACAGTATTACCGGGGCGGTGGGGTAGCCTAATGGCTGCCTTAAAGAAGACCTGCTTGTGCTCTACAATATCACTGGGGCGGTGGGGTAGCCTAATGGTTAAAGCGTTCGCTCGTCACGCTAAAGACCTGGGTTTGATTCCCCGCCGTGACATTGCTGGAATATTGCTAAAAGCGGCGTAAAATTAAACTCACTCTCTGTAGATTACCAAACTATATACTGACAATATGTGACTGGGCAGCCCGGATCATGTTGACACTGTTGAGGTTACTCTTCAAGGCAAGGCTGTACTGCATGAAAGAACATGGCTCTGCCTCAGTAGATCTGGAACAGAAAGAAACAAATACCGTAATTACATACATGTATTTCAGGCGTATCTAAGTCAGATGGGCAGGTGGGGTGGCCTAGTGGTTAAAGCATCCGCTCATCTCACCGAAGATTCCCCACATGGGTACAATGAAGCCCTATTATGGTGCCCCTGTTGTGATGTTGCTTGAATAAGACATAAGTGGCATAAAACTAAACTCATTCACTCTACACTCTAAGTCTGATTTTAAAGGATGAATGTAGATCAAACTGGGATTAGGCCTAGAAAAATGTTGTGGTTCCTATTACCTGACCGACCGTTGAATTCTGGTGCCAACCTTATTTTTTTCAAGTGCTATTAATAAAATAAGTGTTCAGATACCATTGTTTTTTCCCAGCACTGTCGGACATTTGTCATTCTGATAGAGAAAGTCGACATGATTACTGCAAGCTGGATTGAATAAACAATTACACATTTACTTCTAAAGAACTTATATGACAAGTGTAGAAGTGAGCAAAGCTCACATACCCCCGCTTCCCACTTTGGGACATGGAAATGACTGATATTGATATATATAATGTGACAAGGATCAGCAGCTCACAAGACTTTCTCTTTGACTCTACTAAACTTTATATACATGTTAGATAATAGTTTTGGCATGTACTGATTACGGTAATAATTTATGGAAACTAGTTTTTTTTGTGTTTTCCGTGGAAACCTGACATACAATTGAACTTGACTGTCTCATGTTGCACACAATGGACGTAGATGAAGATTGCTATTTTTTAGCACATGGCATATCTGTGGGTCATGACTAACTTGTGTATTAAGTTTGGTGAACCTAGCATGTATAGTTTCGATGATATGCCGTGGTCAGGTAACCATCAAATACATTTTGCACGTACCTAGCATGAACCTAGCATGTAAACTTTAGGAGATATGCTCTGGACAAAATAATCGAACACATTTGGCTCAAAGTCGTGTTCCCATGGAAACAGCAAAAAATACAATTCATATCTGGATCTAAACCCCAAAAGGCACATCTAGGGATCATGCTTGATATGTGTACCAAGTTTGATGAAGCTAGCATGTATAGTTTGGAAGATCTGCTCCGGACAAGATGACATCCTCATAGTCACAGCCTAAGTCGTGTTTCTATGGAAACAGCAAAAAAACTAAATTCTGAAAAAACTTTAAAATAGCAAAAGGCACATCAATGGGTAATGATTAACATGTGTGTGAAGTTTGGTGAACCTAGCATGTAAACTTTAAGAGATATGCTCTGGACAAAATAATTGAACACATTTGGCTCTAAGTCGTGTTCCCATGGAAACAGCAAAAAATACAATTCATATCTGGATCTAAACCCCAAAAGGCACATCTAGGGATCATGCTTGATATGTGTACCAAGTTTGATGAAGCTAGCATGTATAGTTTGGGAGATTTGCTCCGGACAAGATGACATCCTCATAGTCACAGCCTAAGTCGTGTTTCTATGGAAACAGCAAAAAAACTAAATTCTGAAAAAACTTTAAAATAGCAAAAGGCACATCAATGGGTAATGATTAACATGTGTGTGAAGTTTGGTGAACCTAGCATGTAAACTTTAGGAGATGTGCTCTGGACAAAATAATCGAACACATTTGGCTAAGTCGTGTTCCCATGGAAACAGCAAAAAATACAATTCATATCTGGATCTAAACCCCAAAAGGCACATCTAGGGAACATGCTTGATATGTGTACCAAGTTTGATGAAGCTAGCATGTATAGTTTGGAAGATCTGCTCCGGACAAGACGACATCCTCATAGTCACAGCCTAAGTCGTGTTTCCATGGAAACAGCAAAAAAACTAAATTCTGAAAAAACTTTAAAATAGCAAAAGGCACATCAATGGGTAATGATTAACATGTGTGTGAAGTTTGGTGAACCTAGCATGTAAACTTTAGGAGATGTGCTCTGGACAAAATAATCGAACACATTTGGCGCTAAGTCGTGTTCCCATGGAAACAGCAAAAAATACAATTCATATCTGGATCTAAACCCCAAAAGGCACATCTAGGGAACATGCTTGATATGTGTACCAAGTTTGATGAAGCTAGCATGTATAGTTTGGAAGATCTGCTCCGGACAAGACGACATCCTCATAGTCACAGCCTAAGTCGTGTTTCCATGGAAACAGCAAAAAAACTAAATTCTGAAAAAACTTTAAAATAGCAAAAGGCACATCAATGGGTAATGATTAACATGTGTGTGAAGTTTGGTGAACCTAGCATGTAAACTTTAGGAGATGTGCTCTGGACAAAATAATCGAACACATTTGGCTAAGTCGTGTTCCCATGGAAACAGCAAAAATACAATTCATATCTGGATCTAAACCCCAAAAGGCACATCTAGGGAACATGCTTGATATGTGTACCAAGTTTGATGAAGCTAGCATGTATAGTTTGGAAGATCTGCTCCGGACAAGACGACATCCTCATAGTCACAGCCTAAGTCGTGTTTCCATGGAAACAGCAAAAAAACTAAATTCTGAAAAAACTTTAAAATAGCAAAAGGCACATCAATGGGTAATGATTAACATGTGTGTGAAGTTTGGTGAACCTAGCATGTAAACTTTAAGAGATATGCTCCGGACAAAGTTTCGGGACGGACGGACGGACGGACAGAATGAACGCTATATACCCCTGTTACTTCGTAGCGGGGGTATAAAAATATCCTACCTACTTACCCTAAATTTTAAAGAGGTGTAATCGGAACCACAACATTTGTTTCATTTGCCCTTAATCCTTACACTCAAGCTTTTTACAATAGTCAGTTACAAGACTTTTTAAAAGATTAACTAAGGGCAGTCAAAGTTAATTTTAGATGTTTTGTTCAGGCACAAGTCTCTTGATGGCTTAACAGTAGCATGTGCCATTTTTTCCAACACTGGTATTCAGTCGAGAGCATCCCAGCTATACGACCTGCTTGATGTCTGGGCCAGACAAACCAGTGACTGGTATTATAGCAATGATCCATGCCGCTGGGGGTACATTGCTATGTAAGTCTAGCCATTCAGTTCACTGAGGAGTCTCTTACAACCAGTCCATGCTTGGAAGTTAACAGGTGATTTACTGGGTGAGTTGCCTGGCTTCTTGTGAATTACCGCAGTCAGCAATATTCCAGCTGTGTCACAGTGACCTGTAAATACCAATGGACACGCTGCACGACATAACTACAATGGACTGCAATCAGCCATGTCACCTGACCACTTGACCCAGTGTGACATCTCTTACAATCCACATGGTTGGCTGGGAACCTAATCTATCCCAGAACCCCACAGGGTGCTGAGTAAAGAGTGAGTGAGTGAGTTGGGTTTTATACTGCGTTTTGCAATATTCCAGCAATATCATGGCGGAGTAAACCAGAGGCCTCATACATTGTACCAATGTGGGGAATCGAATCCAGGCCTTTGGTCTTATGAGCGAACGCTTTAACCACTAGGCTACCCCACCGCTCCAAATCGAGTAAAGATCGAATAGCTGGCAACTCATGATCAGATGTTGATGATCCTCTTGCCATTCTCTGCAGTCTAAACAAACGTCCATTTTCAACTGAATGTATAGATAAAACATATTTCTATCAGAATATATACATAAACTTTACAAAAGAAACGTTTAAATAATGCCTATATTCATCAAGGTATAGATTCTCTTAACAAGTAGACTCCATTTCAAAACTAGCTAACCAACTCACCTGACATCTTTCAGAGTTATAATGTGTGCTAACCTCAGGAACACTGAAACAATAAGATATCAAGACACTATCAGCACACACTGTTGATACAGTTCATCTTGGAGTAGTGCATGAGCATAGTTTCATGTCATAGTTCAGCAACATCAGCCAGGGGACATCGGAAATGTCCTTCACTGATTTAACTTACGTGGGGAATCAAGCCCGGGTCTTCAGTGTGACAAGAAAACACTTTAACCACTAAGCTACCTCACCACCCCTAATTTCAGTACTAAATGATGTGTGTAAAGTAATCGAGTAATGGTTAGCCAGACCAATGATGTGTGTAAAGTAATCGAGTAATGGTTAGCCAGACCAATGATGTGTGTAAAGTAATCAAGTAATGGTTAGCCCGACCATACTCACATTGGACAAGGAGAGCTAATACTGATCTATGACCAACTCACCATATCCACATTGGACAAGGTCAGCTTACACTGATCTATGACCAACTCACCATATCCACATTGGACAAGGTGAGCTTACACTGATCTATGACCAACTCACCATATCCACATTGGACAAGGAGAGCTAATACTGATCTATGACCAACTCACCATATCCACATTGGACAAGGTGAGCTTACACTGATCTATGACCTACTCACCATATCCACATTGGACAAGGAGAGCTAATACTGATCTATGACCAACTCACCATATCCACATTGGACAAGGTGAGCTTACACTGATCTATGACCTACTCACCATATCCACATTGGACAAGGTGAGCTTACACTGATCTATGACCTACTCACCATATATCCACATTGGACAAGGTGAGCTTACACTGATCTATGACCAACTCACCATATCCACATTGGACAAGGTGAGCTTAGCTATGACCTATCACCATATCCACATTGGACAAGGTGAGCTTACACTGATCTATGACCTACTCACCATATCCACATTGGACAAGGTGAGCTTACACTGATCTATGACCTACTCACCATATCCACATTGGACACAAGGTGAGCTCACCATACACTGATCTATGACCTGACTCACCACCATATCCACATTGGACAAGGTGAGCTAATACTGATCTATGACCTACTCACCATATCCACATTGGACAAGGTGAGCTTACACTGATCTATGACCTACTCACCATATCCACACTTGGGAGGGTAAGCACTGCAGATGTCTGACCTCAGGCAGTGGAATGGAGGGTAAGCACTGCAGATGTCTGACCTCAGACAGTGGTATGGAGGGTAAGCACTGCATATGTCTGACCTCAGACAGTGGTATGGAGGGTAAGCACTGCAGATGTCTGGGCCTCAGACAGTGGTATGGAGGGTAAGCACTGCAGATGTCTGACCTCAGACAGTGATATGGAGTGTAAGCACTGCAGATGTCTGACCTCAGACAGTGGTATGGAGGGTAAGCACTGCAGATGTCTGGGCCTCAGACAGTGGAATGGAGGGTTAGCACTGCAGATGTCTGGGCCTCAGGCAGTGGTATGGAGGGTAAGCACTGCCGATGTCTGACCTCAGACAGTGGTATGAAGGGTAAGCACTGCAGATGTCTGGGCCTCAGACAGTGGTAAGGAGGGTAAGCACTGCAGATGTCTTGGCCTCAGACAGTGGTATGGGGGGTAAACACTGCAGATGTCTGGGCCTTAGACAGTGGTATGAAGGGTAAGCACTGCAGATGTCTGGGCCTCAGACAGTATGGGGGGTAAGCACTGCAGATGTCTGGGCCTCAGACAGTGGTATGGAGGGTAAGCACTGCAGATGTCTTGGCCTCAGACAGTGGTATGGGGGGTAAACACTGCAGATGTCTGGGCCTTAGACAGTGGTATGAAGGGTAAGCACTGCAGATGTCTGGGCCTCAGACAGTATGGGGGGTAAGCACTGTAGATGTCTGGGCCTCAGACAGTGGAATGGAGGGTAAGCACTGCATATGTCTGACCTCAGACAGTGATATGGAGTGTAAGCACTGCAGATGTCTGACCTCAGACAGTGGTATGGAGTGTAAGCACTGCAGATGTCTGACCTCAGGCAGTGATATGGAGGGTAAGCACTGCAGATGTCTGACCTCAGACAGTGGTATGGAGTGCAAGCACTGCAGATGTCTGACCTCAGACAGTGATATGGAGTGTAAGCACTGCAGATGTCTGACCTCAGGCAGTGATATGGAGGGTAAGCACTGCAGATGTCTGACCTCAGGCAGTGATATGGAGTGTAAGCACTGCAGATGTCTGACCTCAGACAGTGGTATGGAGGGTAAGCACTGCAGATGTCTGGGCCTCAGACAGTGGAATGGAGGGTAAGCACTGCAGATGTCTGGGCCTCAGGCAGTGGTATGGAGGGTAAGCACTGCAGATGTCTGACCTCAGACAGTGGTATGAAGGGTAAGCACTGCAGATGTCTGGGCCTCAGACAGTATGGGGGGTAAGCACTGCAGATGTCTGGGCCTCAGACAGTGGTATGGAGGGTAAGCACTGCAGATGTCTGGGCCTCAGACAGTGGTATGAAGGGTAAGCACTGCAGATGTCTGGGCCACAGACAGTGGTATGAAGGGTAAGCACTGCAGATGTCTGGGCCTCAGACAGTATGGGGGGGTAAGCACTGCAGATGTCTGGGCCTCAGACAGTATGGGGGGTAAGCACTGCAGATGTCTGGGCCTCAGACAGTGGAATGGAGGGTAAGCACTGCAGATGTCTGACCTCAGACAGTGATATGCAGTGTAAGCACTGCAGATGTCTGACCTCAGACAGTGGTATGGAGTGTAAGCACTGCAGATGTCTGACCTCAGACAGTGATATGGAGTGTAAGCACTGCAGATGTCTGACCTCAGGCAGTGATATGGAGGGTAAGCACTGCAGATGTCTGGGCCTCAGGCAGTGGTATGGAGGGTAAGCACTGCCGATGTCTGAATCTCAAACAGTGGAATGGAGGGTAAGCACTGCAGATGTCTGACCTCAGACAGTGGTATGGAGGGTAAGCACTGCAGATGTCTGACCTCAGACAGTGGTATTGAGGGTAAGCACTGCAAATGTCTGGGCCTCAGACAGTGGTATGGGGGGTATGCACTGCAGATGTCTGGGCCTCAGACAGTGGTATTGAGGGTAAGCACTGCAGACGTCTGGGCCTCAGACAGTGGTATGGAGGGTAAGCACTGCAGATGTCTGGGTCTCAGACAGTGGAATTGGGGGTAAGCACTGCAGATGTCTGACCTCAGACAGTGGTATGGAGGGTAAGCACTGCAGATGTCTGGGCCTCAGACAGTGGTATGGAGGGTAAGCACTGCCGATGTCTGAGTCTCAAACAGTGGAATGAAGGGTAAGCACTGCACATGTCTGACCTCAGACAGTGGTATGGAGGGTAAGCACTGCAGATGTCTGACCTCAGACAGTGGTATGGAGGGTAAGCACTGCAGATGTCTGACCTCAGACAGTGGTATGGGGGTAAGCACTGCAGATGTCTGACCTCAGACAGTGGTATGGAGGGTAAGCACTGCATATGTCTGACCTCAGACAGTGGTATGGAGTGTAAGCACTGCATATGTCTGACCTCAGACAGTGGTATGGAGGGTAAGCACTGCAGATGTCTGACCTCAGACAGTGGTATGGAGTGTAAGCACTGCAGATGTCTGACCTCAGACAGTGGTATGGAGGGTAAGCACTGCAGATGTCTGACCTCAGACTTGTTTGGCATGGTTAATGTAGTAAGGATGTTGTCTCAGTGAAAGAGCAAGTCCACTTACGATATCGGTCGTATCCAGCGCCATGTTGTATATCAGGAGAGAAGAGAACCCTTTGCTTGCCCTGGATGCTGTTGGAAACAAACACATCCATTATTGAGGAACTGTTTGTTTCTGGAATCAGGCATCCATACCACTAGGTGACAATGGTATTACCAACGCTGAGAGTCCATTACTATAATAGAACTCTCTGTTTATCCATTTATAAAGACATACCTTATCTACTGTATATTTTTTTCAAATGATGAAATACATCCAAAATATTTCCATGAAATGTGGGATTTCTTCTCATTTAAGTATCACAGGTATTAAAACAAAGTTCAGACACAAGTACGTTGTCTGTAGTCCATTAACTGATCAAGAGTGTCATCTCAATCATCATAAGACATGTTACACAAGCAGCAAGCAGTTAGGCATTAGAGTCACCATATCAGGAACATATTACACCGAAAAGTTACAAAACTGATCACATCAGTCACTAGATTAATTCCATCGGTCACCAAATCATGCTGGGATAAACTCAATCAGATTGGTAAACATATTATCACACATTCCACACCTTACTAAATACATATATACAGAGCATGTTGTACCTGTCCAATGATGAGTACAGACTTTGCAGGGAGGTTGATTCCACCAATGTTTTGTCTTCCAATTCCTGAAACAAACAAGTTAAAAAATGCTAACTTCTTTCCTATAACCGACAATTAGTGAAGATTTGGGCTAGAATTGGTCTTCAGCAAACAAGAGGCGACTGACGGTATTGGGATGTCAGACTAAGCTGACACATGTTATTATATCCCAATTGCATAGATCAATGCTCACGCTGTTGATCACGGGATTGTCTGGTCCAGACTCGATCATTTACAGAGCACCACCATATAGCTGGAATACTGCAAAGTGCAGTGTAACACAGCAAACGATACAAACGCCCTAGAAGCACACAAGAGGTCACAAATGTGTCAGTGTTGTCATGTGGAACTGGTAGGCAAGGTCCAGTGGGTAGTGCAGTGGTTAAAGTATTGACTCATTACCCTGAAGGCTATGGGTTCTACTCTCCAGATCAGTACAATGTGTGAAGCGCCTTTCTGATCTGACCACTGTGTGATGTTTCTCAACAGGAAGCCAAACAACAATCAACCTCTCACACAATACGGCCAAACAATGTTGTCATCATACTGGCAGTGTCAAGTTATTATATACAGTGAGTGAGTGGGTGTAGTTTTATGCTATGATTAGCAATATTCTGTTCATGCAAAAAAAAAAGCCTCCATACAGCTGGAATATTGCCGAGAGCAGCGTGAACCTAACCTCACTAAAACTTATGCAAAAAACAGTCACACAGTCTTCAATCATATTGATGTACCAATATCCAGGTGTTGAGCACCCCATGCTTATAAGCAAGAGGTGATTACGTGACAGGTTGATCAGGCTGGCTAACTCGCTTCATACATGTTGGAGTGCAAAGAAAACACACACAAAAACAGGGGATGATCTTACCTTTCTCAAAGAGAAGGCCATGTGTTTAGTGTCGTAGATGATAGGAAAGAGCTGATGTAAGCTGTTCTTGAAATCTTGATATTTGCCTGAAATGAATAATGTTTCGATGAATGTTTCTGCTTGATGCACTGAAATATCCAACATCTTTCCCACAACCTGACAACCACTTGAGACCACTATTCAGATCCAAGTGTGCAGCAGATGTCAGTAAGATTTGTCAGTGGCATAAGCATCTCCAATTCTTGCTGCTATAGTAATGGTAAGTGAGTTACAGTGAGTGAGTTGAGTTTTACGCCGCTTTTAGCAATATTCCAGCAATATCACGGCGGGGGCTACCAGAAATGGACTTCACACATTGTACCCAAGTGGGGAATCAAACCCGGGTCTTCGGTGTGACGAGTTAACGCTTTAGCCACTAGGTTACCCCACCGTTCATTCTAAAGCAATAACTACGGTGATGTCTACATACAGGCGACATGCATTGCTACTTTACAGCACCAATTTTGAACAAAGGAATTATTTATCCTAATTTGCCTGAGAAGTGTTCTTGGTTTGGACAAATCTCTGCAGGGTTACACTGCGGTTACACACTCGCATGTAAGAGCTGAAAAGGGCCTAGGGTTACACTGCGGTTACACACTCACATGTAAGGGCTGAGAAGCGCCTAGGGTTACACTGTGGTTACACTCACATGTAAGGGCTGAGAAGGGCCTAGGGTTACACTGTGGTTACACACTCACATGTAAGGGCTGAAAAGGGCCTAGGGTTACACTGCGGTTACACACTCACATGTAAGGGCTGAGAAGCCTAGGGTTACACACTGTGGTTACACTCACATGTAAGGGCTGAGAAGGGCCTAGGGTTACACTGTGGTTACACTCCCATGTAAGGGCTGAGAAGGGCCTAGGGTTACACTATGGTTACACTCCCATGTAAGGGCTGAGAAGGGCCTAGGGTTACACTGCGGTTACACTCCCATGTAAGGGCTGAGAAGGGCCTAGGGTTACACTGCGGTTACACACTCGCATGTAAGGGCTGAGAAGCGCCTAGGGTTACACTGTGGTTACACTCACATGTAAGGGCTGAGAAGGGCCTAGGGTTACACTGCGGTTACACACTCACATGTAAGGGCTGAGAAGGGCCTAGGGTTACACTGCGGTTACACACTCGCATGTAAGGGCTGAGAAGGGCCTAGGGTTACACTGTGGTTACACTCACATGTAAGGGCTGAGAAGGGCCTAGGGTTACACTGCGGTTACACTCGCATGTAAGGGCTGAGAAGGGCCTAGGGTTACACTGTGGTTACACTCACATGTAAGGGCTGAGAAGGGCCTAGGGTTACACTGTGGTTACACTCACATGTAAGGGCTGAGAAGGGCCTAGGGTTACACTGTGGTTACACTCACATGTAAGGGCTGAGAAGGGCCTAGGGTTACACTGTGGTTACACTCACATGTAAGGGCTGAGAAGGGCCTAGGGTTACACTGCGGTTACACACTCGCATGTAAGGGCTGAGAAGTGCCCTAGGGTTACACTGTGGTTACACTCACGTGGTAAGGGCTGGAAGAACTTGTCATACAAGAACATCAGGTCCATCAACATGTTGTGTCCGATCAGAGGCTGCAAACACAAGTACAGAGTGAGTGAGTGACAAAGGATAACACTGATTTTAACAATAGTTCCCGCATGGCCTGCCATGACACTTTGTGTGGATGGAAGTTGGCACATATCGTTGTTGATAGTCACTTTAGTTAAACCTACAAGAAAGATACCAACACCTGCTCACGAAAAGGCTGGGATACAACCAATGACCAATACATCCTGGGGCATCTAAGAGACACAACCTATGACCAATACATTTTTGTGCATCTAAGGGACACAACCAATGACCTGTACATCCTGGGGCATCTAAGGGGCACAACCTATGACCAACACATTTTTGTGCATCTAAGGGACACAACCAATGACCAGTGCATCCTGGGGCATCTAAGGGGCACAACCTATGACCAACACATTTTTGTGCATCTAAGGGACACAACCAATGACCAGTGCATCCTGGGGCATCTAAGGGACACAACCAATGACCAGTGCATCCTGGGGCATATAAGGGACACAACCAATGACCAGTACATCCTGAGGCATCTAAAGGACACAACCAATGACCAGTACATCCTGAGGCATCTAAAGGACACAACCAATGACCAGTACATCCTGAGGCATCTAAAGGACACAACCAATGACCAGTACATCCTGAGGCATCTAAAGGACACAACCAATGACCAGTACATCCTGAGGCATCTAAAGGACACAACCAATGACCAGTACATCCTGAGGCATCTAAAGGACACAACCAATGACCAGTACATCCTGAGGCATCTAAAGGACACAACCAATGGCCAGTACATCCTGAGGCATCTAAGGGACACAACCAATGACCAGTACATCCTAGTGCATCTAAAGGACACAACCAATGACCAGTACATCCTAGTGCATCTAAGAGACACAACCAATGACCAGTACATCCTAGTGCATCTAAGAGACACAACCAATGACCAGTACATCCTGGTGCATCTAAGGGACACAACCAATTACCAGTGCATCATGGGGCATTTAAGGGACACAACCAATGACCAGTACATCCTGAGGCATCTAAGGGACACAACCAATGACTAGTACATACTGAGACATCTAAGGGACACAACCAATGACCAGTGCATCCTCACACATCTGAGGGATACAACCAATGACCAATACATCCTGGTGCATCTAAGGGACACAACCAATGACCAGTACATAATGAAGCATCTAAGGGACACAACCAATGACCAATATATCCCGGTGCATCCAAGGGACACAACCAATGACCAAAATATCCTGGGGCATTTAAGGGACACAAACAATGACCAGTACATCCTGGTGCATCTAAGAGACACAACCAATGACCAATATATCCTGGTGCATCTAAGGGACACAACCAATGACCAAAATATCCTGGGGCATTTAAGGGACACAAACAATGACCAGTACATCCTGGGGCAACTAAGGGACACAACCAATGACCAATATATCCCGGTGCATCCAAGGGACACAACCAATGACCAGTACATCCTGGTGCATCTAAGGGACACAACCAATGACCAATATATCCTGGTGCATCTAAGGGACACAACCAATGACCAAAATATCCTGGGGCATTTAAGGGACACAACCAATGACCAGTACATCCTGGGGCATCTAAGAGACACAACCTATGACCAATACATTTTTGTGCATCTAAGGGACACAACCAATGACCTGTACATCCTGGGGCATCTAAGGGGCACAACCTATGACCAACACATTTTTGTGCATCTAAGGGACACAACCAATGACCAGTGCATCCTGGGGCATCTAAGGGGCACAACCTATGACCAACACATTTTTGTGCATCTAAGGGACACAACCAATGACCAATATATCCTGGTGCATCTAAGGGACACAACCAATGACCAAAATATCCTGGGGCATTTAAGGGACACAACCAATGACCAGTACATACTGAGGCATCTAAAGGACACAACAAATTACCAGTGCGTCCTTGGGCACCTAAGGTACACAACTACTGACCAATACATCCTGGGGCATCTAAGGGACACAACCAATTACCAGTGCATCCTGGGGCATTTAAGGGACACAACCAATGACCAGTACATCCTGAGGCATCTAAAGGACACAACCAATGACCAGTACATCCTGTGGCATCTAAAGGACACAACCAATGACCAGTACATCCTGAGGCATCTAAAGGACACAACCAATGACAAGTACATCCTGAGGCATCTAAAGGACACAACCAATGACCAGTACATCCTAGTGCATCTAAGAGACACAACCAATGACCAATATATCCTGGTGCATCTAAGGGACACAACCAATGACCAATATATCCTGGTGCATCTAAGGGACACAACCAATGACCAATTTATCCTGGTGCATCTAAGGGACACAACCAATGACCAGTGCATCCTCACACATCTAAGGGACACAACCAATGACCAATATATCCTGGTGCATCTAAGGGACACAACCAATGACCAATATATCCTGGTGCATCTAAGGGACACAACCAATGACCAATATATCCTGGTGCATCTAAGGGACACAACCAATGACCAGTGCATCCTCACACATCTAAGGGACACAACCAATGACCTATATATCCTGGGGCATCTAAGGGACACAACCAATGACCAGTGCATCCTCACACATCTAAGGGACACAACCAATGACCAGTACATCCTGGTGCATCTAAGAATACAGCTATGCCCGATTGTTTTTACATAGAGAATCTCACCCGAGTGTCTTCTGATATCAAATATATCTCCACGAGTTGATAAAGTTACAAATATCCGAGGCTTGGCGAGGACATTTTTACTTTTATCAACGAGTGTTGATATATTTGATATCAGAAGACACGAGGGTGAGATTCTATTTATCATCAAAAGTCCTTCTTCATTAGTTTTTTCAAAGAAAAATGTACATCTCTGAAGACTGTACTAGACTTGCAGTGCAGCGATGTCATAGCATTGTGACGTCATCAAGTTCATGACGTCATAGCATTGTCAGGGCATTGTACAAAATCTACTGTAAAAATAATATCTCCTAGGAGATATCATATGATCTCACACGAGCGATATCTCCTGTGGAACACAGTTTTGGATGATAAAATGCACAGATAGTTAAGGGGCAGCAGTACCGACAGTACAACATTCTCAGTCATGGACTGTGATACTTGTTAAAGACAGCATCAAGTTTTGTCTCTGCTTCAAAGCATCAAATATTTCTCTGTCAAAGAAGGATAAAAATCTTACTACAGTTTAATAAAACATTATTTGTCAGGACCTGCCTCTCAAACATTTTCTTATGTTATCTCAAGGCTAAACTATATTTTGTCCAGTATGTATAATTTGCTTTACCAAACATCCCTGTCCCCCAATATTTCATGCATAAAAGCTTAAACAAATTCCATGTCTTTCATCCTTTTACCTTTTTGCATTCAGTCAAAATCCTGAAGACTCGGGTAAATCCAAGAAGTGTGTTTAATAATCTGAAACAAAGGTTTCATTACACTACTAAAATACACGCAGATGAACAAAATGAATCTGGAGCAAAATTAAAAAAGGGTGAATGGTGCTGAGTCAGCTATGTTGAAGAGGCGGTGGGGTAGCCCAGTGGTTAAAGTATTCCCTCGTAAAGCCGTAGACTCGGGTTCGATTCCCCATGTGGGTACAATGTGTGAATCTAATTTCTGGTGTCTTTTGAAGTGATATTGCTTTAATATTGCCAAAAGCGGCGTAAAACTAAACTCAATCACTCACTATATTCTTTCTGCTTCATCAGGTGATGAACACAAGATTACTACACTTGTGTCATTCCATACCAAAATAGACATGTTTAACACAACTTTATACCTACTATATCATATTACAAAGACACTCGACAAATCGTATTTTCTGTCTACCAGTGTTCAAGCCAGTCCAGCAGTGACATATATGAGTGAATGAACCCTGCTTGTTGTCAAATTGACTTCACACAATGCACCCATGTGGGGAATCGAACCTGGGTCTTTGATGTGACGAACAAACGCTTCAACCACTCAACTAACCCAATTACCTGACCCAATTAATACATATGAACATCTGGGAGTCTGACCACACCACTTACTGCTGCTGTTCTCGACTCTCCTGGCTGTCCTCTTCCAGATGGCGCCGCTTCTCTGACGTGACCACCTCCACCACAAACTGCAACATCAACAACTGTACAGTCTTCATGTACTTGACACAGGAACGAGACCATGTGACATTAGTCAACTTCTCCATCAACACCCCCACCACCAGTTACAACATCAGCTACATTGTTATCTTCCAACATTTACTGGAGACCAGTTGATCTCAGTGCTACATCTCAGACAGCACAATCTCCACCACGACAACCACTGGACTAACTTTAGTATAGAAACTTAAAAATATATTTGTAGTAACTGTCAGTATCTGCAGATGACTGAACTACAGATGAAACATATCATATAATAGCATGGCAATATCTGAACAGCAGTCAACAGCAGAGTAGAGCTTCCAAGAATGGTTTTCTACAGGAAGGAGAGTTATCTGCCTTTGTAAACAAGATGGCTACCTCATATGAGAAGAGTAACAACAGGGCATATTAGGCCATAGGAGGCTAGCTACAGCCACGTAAGAGTTACAAGAGGCACTTCAAGGTCTTTTTGACTTGTTTCGTATCTAGTGTGGTTTGGTATACCTTCCTGAAAAACATTCCTGTCAGCTTAAGCACTAATCCAGATTAAGAAACAGAGAGCTTGAGCATTGTTTCAAGATATTCAACAATAACAATATTCTAAACTTTTGTGATTGCCATAACAATAATTCTTGAGTTTGTTACTAATTGCTGTCATAACTTATTTGATCCACTATATTGACTCATCAATTGCAAACCTGAAACTGCATGTTTGAAGATAACTCATTATTTTTACATTATGAACCAATACTTACTGCTTTCACAATTCATTTCAGTGCATACCATTGAGATTATCCTCTGTGTTTCAATATGGAAATGTCATGAAAGGTACGTACATTTCCCATGTGGTCGGTGGATGTCCACACTGATGGGAAGCGGTTTCGGATCTCGTTGTGTAGAACATAGTCACTGATCGTCTGGACCTCTGGGAAACAAACACAGTGGGCCTGTCTTGTTCAATTCAAGTGATGCCATGACAAAACTTTGGTTCATACATCAGTTTATGGCTGGTTTTATGTAGTACTTGTTCGCACCTCCAAACAAACTTCTCAAATAACCAAGATCCAGGTATCGCAGCTTTGAAGAGGATATATTATATAATATGAACTATTGATTTAACTATGTTAAAAACAAATAAAATTCATCTTAGACGAATTATTACAATGTCATGTCATGTCTGAAAAATGTCCATATTTTCATACTGCATTATTTGACATGGAATTTATAGGTTGGGAAAATCAATGAGTGAGTGAGTGAGTTAGTTTAGTTTTACTCATAGTTCATCTGTTTCTAAACAATGATCCCTCCCTCTTTCCTCACAGTTCATCAGTTTCTAAACAATGATCCCTCCCTCTTTCCTCACTGTTCATCAGTTTCTAAACAATATTCCCTCCCTCTTTCCTCGTAGTTCATCAGTTTCTAAACAATGACCCCTCCCTCTTTCCTCACTGTTCATCAGTTTCTATAAACAATGATCCCTCCCTCTTTCCTCACAGTTCATCAGTTTTTAAACAATGATCCCTCCCTCTTTCCTCACAGTTCATCAGTTTTTAAACAATGATCCCTCCCTCTTTCCTCACGGTTCATCAGTTTTTAAACAATGATCCCTCCCTCTTTCCTCACAGTTCATCAGTTTCTAAACAAATTGATCCCTCCCTCTTTCCTCACAGTTCATCAGTTTCTAAACAAATTGATCCCTCCCTCTTTCCTCACAGTTCATCAGTTTCTAAACAATGATCCCTCCCTCTTTCCTCACAGTTCATCAGTTTTTAAACAATGACCCCTTACTCCCTCCTCACCTAATAGTACATATCAATTTCTAATTAATGGTCACTCCCTCCTCATCCAAACGTACATAAATTTCTAAACCATGAGCCCTCCCTGCTCACCTTCAGTTTTCTGGACTATGAACGTGTCTCCCTTCTTCGCTGTGACAAACTTCTCCGCCACTTGTGAACAGAGTTGTTGTAGAACTCTCTCATCCACTTCCCTGGATAATCAAAGTCAGTTGCTTGTGGTGGTTGTTACAGAAAGGTAAATTAGTCAGAAACACAACAAAGAATAGAAATGTACCTATGCTCACTTTACATGATCACAGACTGGAGCTGATTGTGGTCCTGGGTGTGTCAGAACCCTTCACCTTTCTTTAAAGATCTTTTTGTAAATGTGGACACTGACACAGGTGGCCCAGCTGTCTAACACTTCACCTTATGCTGTGCTGCCTCACAGAAAAAGGCACTTCAATATCCTAAATATTAATTATATTTATATATCTCTTTCAGCACCAAAGTGGTGAACCTATAGGCATGAGCATAGCAAGTGTGGTGAACCTACAGGCATGAGCATAGCAAGTGTGGTGAACCTATTGGCATGAGCATAGCAAGTGTGGTGAACCTATTGGCATGAACATAGCAAGTGTGGTGAACCTATAGGCATGAGCATAGCCAATGTGGTGAACCTATTGGCATGAGCATAGCCAATGTGGTGAACCTATAGGCATGAGCATAGCCAATGTGGTGAACCTATAGGCATGAGCATAGCCAATGTGGTGAACCTATAGGCATGAGCATAGCCAATGTGGTGAACCTATAGGCATGAGCATAGCCAATGTGGTGAACCTATAGGCATGAGCATAGCCAATGTGGTGAACCTATTGGCATGAGCATAGCCAATGTGGTGAACCTATAGGTATGAGCATAGCAAGTGTGGTGAACCTATAGGCATGAACATAGCCAATGTGGTGAACCTACAGGCATGAGCATAGCCAGTGTGGTGAACCTACAGGCATGAGCATAGCCAGTGTGGTGAACCTATAGGCATGAGCATAGCCAATGTGGTGAACCTATAGGCATGAGCATAGCAAGTGTGGTGAACCTATAGGCATGAGCATAGCCAATGTGGTGAACCTATAGGCATGAGCATAGCAAGTGTGGTGAACCTACAGGCATGAGCATAGCCAATGTGGTGAACCTACAGGCATGAGCATAGCCAGTGTGGTGAACCTATAGGCATGAGCATAGCCAATGTGGTGAACCTACAGGCATGAGCATAGCCAATGTGGTGAACCTACAGGCATGAGCATAGCAAGTGTGGTGAACCTATAGACATGAGCATAGCCAATGTGGTGAACCTATAGGCATGAGCATAGCCAGTGTGGTGAACCTATAGGCATGAGCATAGCCTATGTGGTGAACCTACAGGCATGAGCATAGCAAGTGTGGTGAACCTATTGGCATGAGCATAGCCAATGTGGTGAACCTATAGGCATGAGCATAGCCAATGTGGCGAACCTATAGGCATGAGCATAGCCAATGTGGTGAACCTATAGGCATGAAAATAGCAAGTGTGGTGAACCTACAGGCATGAGCATAGCCAATGTGGTGAACCTATAGGCATGAGCATAGCCAATGTGGTGAACCTACAGGCATGAGCATAGCCAGTGTGGTGAACCTATAGGCATGAGCATAGCCAATGTGGTGAACCTATAGGCATGAGCATAGCAAGTGTGGTGAACCTATAGGCATGAACATAGCTAATGTGGTGAACATACAGGCATGAGCATAGCCAGTGTGGTGAACTTATAGGCATGAGCATAGCCAATGTGGTGAACCTGTAGGCATGAGCATAGCAAGTGTGGTGAACCTATAGGCATGAACATACAGGCATGAGCATAGCAAGTGTGGTGAACCTATAGGCATGAGCATAGCCAATGTGGTGAACCTATAGGCATGAGCATAGCAAGTGTGGTGAACCTATAGGCATGAACATAGCTAATGTGGTGAACATACAGGCATGAGCATAGCAAGTGTGGTGAACATACAGGCATGAGCATAGCCAATGTGGTGAACATACAGGCATGAGCATAGCCAGAGTGGTGAACCTACAGGCATGAGCATAGCCAGTGTGGTGAACCTATAGGCATGAGCATAGCCAATGTGGTGAACCTATAGGCATGAGCATAGCCAATGTGGTGAACCTACAGGCATGAGCATAGCCAGTGTGGTGAACCTATAGGCATGAGCATAGCCAGTGTGGTGAACCTATAGGCATGAGCATAGCCAATGTGGTGAACCTATAGGCATGAGCATAGCCAATGTGGTGAACCTATAGGCATGAGCATAGCCAATGTGGTGAACCTATAGGCATGAGCATAGCAAGTGTGGTGAACCTATAGGCATGAGCATAGCCAATGTGGTGAACCTATAGGCATGAGCATAGCCAATGTGGTGAACCTATAGGCATGAGCATAGCCAATGTGGTGAACCTATAGGCATGAGCATAGCAAGTGTGGTGAACCTATAGGCATGAGCATAGCCAGTGTGGTGAACCTATAGGCATGAGCATAGCCAATGTGGTGAACCTATAGGCATGAGCATAGCAAGTGTGGTGAACCTATAGGCATGAGCATAGCAAGTGTGGTGAACCTACAGGCATGAGCATAGCCAGTGTGGTGAACCTATAGGCATGAGCATAGCCAGTGTGGTGAACCTACAGGCATGAGCATAGCCAATGTGGTGAACCTACAGGCATGAGCATAGCAAGTGTGGTGAACCTATAGGCATGAGCATAGCCAGTGTGGTGAACCTACAGGCATGAGCATAGCCAGTGTGGTGAACCTATAGGCATGAGCATAGCCAATGTGGTGAACCTCTAGGCATGAGCACAGCAAGTGTGGTGAACCTATAGGCATGAGCATAGAAAGTGTAGTGAACATACAGGCATGAGCATAGCCAATGTGGTGAACCTATAGGCATGAACATAGCCAATGTGGTGAACCTATAGGCATGAAAATAGCCAATGTGGTGAACCTATAGGCATGAGCATAGCCAATGTGGTGAACCTATAGGCATGAACATAGCCAATGTGGTGAACCTATAGGCATGAAAATAGCCAATGTGGTGAACCTATAGGCATGAGCATAGCCAATGTGGTGAACCTATAGGCATGAGCATAGCCAATGTGGTGAACCTATAGGCATGAGCATAGCCAATGTGGTGAACCTATAGGCATCAGCATAGCCAATGTGGTGAACCTATAGGCATCAGCATAGCCAGTGTGGTGAACCTATTGGCATGAGCATAGCCAATGTGGTGAACCTACAAGCATGATCATAGCCAATGTAGCTGCCATAAAACATCCAAGTCACACGCTCGGATTTTAACCATGGACCTTCTGATCCAAAGTTGCCTTGTCCACGTCACCAAGAGTTTAACCTCGTCAGAAAGCTGACAAAGTAAGGATCTATGGGATGACTCCACACCCTGCTACATCAACATCAAGCAAGCGTAACCATGAGATAACAGAAATACTGTTCAGGGAACCATAACACTCAAGCGATGACTCTCCCGAGTACAGTGGAGCGTGTTGAGGATACGTACCTATTGAGCCCCTGGAACAGCAACTTCTTGCTGAGATGTTCTCTGATCATGTCCTCTTGAGGGCCATTCAGGAACGATATACCCTTGTACATCAGCTGGGGGAAATACACCAAACTATACAACCTTGTACAACAGCTGGGGGAAATACACCAAACTATACAACCTTGTACACCAGCAGGGGGAAATACACCAAACTATACAACCTTGTACAACAGCTTGGGGAAATATACAACACTATACAACCTTGTACATCAGCTGGGGGAAATACGCCAAACTATACAACATTGAACATCAGCTGGGGGAAATACACCAAACTATACAACCTTGTACATCAGCTGGGGGAAATACGCCAAACTATACAACCTTGTACATCAGCTGGGGGAAATACACCAAACTATACAACCTTGTACATCAGCTGGGGGAAATACACCAAACTATACAACCTTGTACAACAGCTGGGGGAAATACACCAAACTATACAACCTTGTACATCAGCTGGGGGAAATACGCCAAACTATACAACCTTGTACATCAGCTGGGGGAAATACGCCAAACTATACAACCTTGTACATCAGCTGGGGGAAATACACCAAACTATACAACCTTGTACATCAGCTTGGGGAAATACACCAAACTATACAACCTTGTACATCAGCTGGGGGAAATACACCAAACTATACAACCTTGTACAACAGCTGGGGGAAATACACCAAACTATACAACCTTGTACAACAGCTGGGGGAAATATACAACACTATACAACCTTGAACATCAGCTGGGGGAAATATACAACACTATACAACATTGTACAACAGCTGGGGAAATATACAACACTATACAACATTGTACAACAGCTGGTGGAAATATAGAACTTATACAACCTTTAACATCAGTTGGGGGAAATATACAACACTATACAACCTTTAACATCAGCTGGGAGAAATATACAACACTATTCAACCTTGTGACCAGCGTGATATGACTACAGGCTGCATTTGCATGTACACAAGGAGACCAGTAACACTTACCTCTTGAAAGTCAAAGTTGTAACGGCATAAGAATTCAACAGATGATGACTGAAAACAGGAAGCATGCAATATCAATGGTAGCCATGGTGGATAGGATGACATGTGTCAACCAAGTCAGCGAGCCTGACCACCCAATCTAGTGAGTCGCCTCTCAGGACAAGCATGGGCTGCTGAAGACCAATTCAAGCCCTGATGTTCATGAGCGACAAGGACGGGTTGCTGAAGACCAATTCAAGCCCTGATGTTCATGAGCGACAAGGATGGGTTGCTGAAGACCAATTCAAGCCCTGATGTTCATGAGCGACAAGGATGGGTTGCTGAAGACCAATTCTAATCCGGACCTTCACGAGTCATTTTAAGGATTTTACAACAGTATCAAACACATTTAAAACACAGATAATATTGATAGATCTTCCACAACCTACAACTGGCAGATGCTGGCAATATCACGTGATTGCAGAGATATAGAGTGTGTACAGGTTCTGTACCATGAACAGAATGACACCATGAAAGTGCAGCTACTCTGCGAACACTGGCAAATGGTCTTACTTGGATCAGGAAGCGAGGATCATGAGGTCCGAAGGATCGAGGAAACAGATGGAAGTTAAACGTGCGAACAGAGTACCTAGTAGGAATAAAACATGACACATTAATTTCAATGTAATCAGTGTCACATTATCACACTATCTATCAATATGGAGGCAACTCTTCCACAGAAGATTACATCAGGTGCCAATGAATGTAGCATGGCTACGTGAGGCGTTCACATCTCAACTTTCTAAATGATTCAGCAACAGTTCTTAACAAACTTAGAAAATCTGTTTTTTACCAACAGATATGAACCTAAAGTGTGCTTCTCACTATATATTAAGCGTCTCTTCTTTTCTCGGAATAACCGCATTTGAGGTTTTTGTTTACACTCAGGTTTTACTTTTTGTAAGTAAGACCTCTTCCCAGGTTTTACTTTTTGTAAGTAAGACCTCTAAACCTTGGGGGGAGGGAAAGCCCCTTGGGATTTCCCTCCTCCCTCAGTTTTACATTCTCTACCAAAACCAAGGAGGAATGTTTTCTCCTATACATAGCTATAGATATCAGATGTGCTGGACCTGGCACCCCAGATGATGTTCCCTGGTACCCTGTGTGCCCTGTAGCCCATGTGTTCCCTGGTACCCTGATACTGTGTGTCCCCTGTGCACCCTGTGTCCTCAGGTACCCTGTGTTCCCTGGTACCCTGTGTTCTCAGGTACCCTGTGTTCCCTGGTACCCTGTGTTTCCTGGTACCCTGTGTTCCCTGCTACCCTGAGTCCTCAGGTACCCTGTTGTGCCTGGTACTCGGTGTACTCTGTGGTCCCTGGTACCCTGTGTGCCCTTGTACCCTGTGTCCCCTAATGACCTGGTTGCCTGTGTCCTCTGGTAGTATGTGTGCCCTGTGTTCCCTGGCACCCTGTGGTCCCTGGTACCCTGTGCCCCATGTGTGCCCTGGTACCCTGTGCAGCCTGGTACCCTGTATGACCTGGTACCCTGTGTCTCCTCATACCCTGTGTCCCCTGGTACCCTGTGTCCCCTCATACCCTGTGTCCCCTCATACCCTGTGTCCCCTCGTACCCTGTGTCTCCTCATACCCTGTGTCCCCTCGTACCCTGTGTCCCCTGGTACCCTGTGTCCCCTCATACCCTGTGTGACCTGGTACTCTGTGTCCCCTGGTACCCTGTGTCCCCTGGTACCCTGTGTCCCCTGGTACCCTGTGTCCCCTGGTACCCTGTGTCCCCTCATACCCTGTGTCCCCTCATACCTGTGTCCCCTCATACCCTGTGTCCCCTGGTACCCTGTGTCCCCTCATACCCTGTGTCCCCTCATACCTGTGTCCCCTCGTACCCTGTGTCCCCTGGTACCCTGTGTCCCCTGGTACCCTGTGTCCCCTCATACCCTGTGTCCCCTCATACCCTGTGTCCCCTCGTACCCTGTGTCCCCTGGTACCCTGTGTCCCCTCATACCTGTGTCCCCTCATACCCTGTGTCCCCTCACACCCGGTGTCCCCTCCTACCCTGTGTCCCCTCCTACCCTGTGTCCCCTCGTACCGTGTCCCCTGGTACCCTGTGTCCCCTCGAACCCTGTGTCCCTTGGTACCCTGTGTCCCCTCACACCCTGTGTCCCCTCCTACCCTGTGTCCCCTCGTACCGTGCCTCCTGGTACCCTGTGTCCCCTCGTACCCTGTGTCCCTTCCAGGGGTTCAAAATTCCCATCGCCGACGCCCGGGACAAGTCAGTTTTCATTTCGGCCAATCAAATAATGGTATCTTACTTGTCCGTGGGCTACTAGATAATTTCCACTTATGGTTTCAAACTGCAAATAAACTTTGATTTAATTTCATATCTGCTCAAAATTTAGCTATTAAATTTCGCAATGATAATAAAGTAGAGTTATCTTTCTTTGCTATTTATCACTTTTCAATAAATAGTCCAGTATACATTAACATCAAATACCATGTTAATTTCTTCTTTCATAATTACATCATCATAATTATGTCATAAAATCAGGGCAAGTGGAAAATTAGTCAGGACAAGTTACTTTCTTAAAGTCACTTGCCCTGTGGCAAGTGGCTTTTCAAAAAAAAATTGAACCCCTGCCCCTCATACCCTGTGTCCCCTGGTACCCTGTGTCCCCTCATACCCTGTGTCCCCTCACACCCTGTGTCCCCTGGTACGCTGTGTGCCCTCATACCCTGTGTCCCCTGGTACCCTGGTACCCTGTGTCCCCTCATACCCTGTGTCCCCTCACACCCTGTGTCCCCTCACACCCTGTGTCCCCTCACACCCTGTGTCCCCTCATACCCTGTGTCCCCTCATACCCTGTGTCTCTTGTTACCCTGCGTGACCTGGTACCTCATGTGCCCCTGTTAACTTGTGTGAGCTGTCACTGCCTGACATCCTCACCTGTTCTCTGTGCCCTGCTTCACAAAGGCTGACACACCTGCAACATGAAAACACAGATAAAGGTGAGGTGAGGTGAAATTGGTTTTAACGTCGTACTTGAGAATATTTCGCTCATATGACGACGTACATGCGTGTGTATGTGCGGCTGCTTGTACTAGCCCAGACTTAAGCTGGTTTTATAGTGCTAGCCCACTGAGATACCATGCCGCAGTTAAGCATGAATACCCCACTCAGACACATTATACTGACTCCGAGCCGACCAGTCCTTGTTGTACCCATTAATGCCGAGCGCCAGGCAGGGACCAACAAGTACCATATTTTAACGTCTTTTTGGTATGACGCGGTCGGGTATCGAAACCCGCGACCTTCCACTCTCCGGGTGGACACACAGATAAAGACATGTAGTGCTGAAGACAGACCTACAACATGATACTAACATGATACAACTACCTCACACAATGTTACGTATCATGATACGCCCACCTCGTGCACTGATAAATATCACAATATTAGTGTTAGGCTTTGTCCTGTGTTGCGATACTTCATTGTTATACTTAAGTGGGAATTTTTCCATGTTGTAGGGTCAACCAGTTTCAGTTTGATTTGAATAAGTTACAGTTTACTGCAATCAGATTCATCAGTTTCTTTCATAATCAAGACTTATGTAATTCTAGTTTCTAGTCTGCGTAATTGTAAACTATGAAAATATTACTTTTAGAAAATCAATTCTGCCTTTTCTACGAATCAGTACATGGGCAGGAGTATTGTAATGATATCATCATCATTATCATCAGATTTCAGTTCCAGATGCATCACTACAGCAATGAATCTAGATGCCCTTAACCCCCTGGCTGCCGAGTTTTTTTTCAGGCGCACATTTTCATACGGTTTGAAAAGTGATCGTTGTGCGAGAATTGCGCTCGCGCTGTCCTGGATCTACGTACGGCTATAAAATTACACAGAAATGTACAATATTAAATTTCCTATCCGTTGGTATAAATATAAGTGCAACTACCTCGGCGGTTTGAGAAATAGACACTGCTAAATGTTGTCCAGTTTTTTTTTATGCGTTAAAAAACAGTAATTTTATCCGCTTTTTATCGCGCACCGATAAAAGCACTGTGCTACGAATTTTTTAATGTGGCATCTTTACGGAAAGTGTTAGCGAAGAAAATACAGCTTGATATCTGAACGACATAAGTGTATATGAATTGGGTTTATGTGCTTGTGCATAACGTTATACTCAACATTAAAATGACTCGCAATAAATGTCAAAATGGATTTTCTTCTATGACGCCAAAACGCGGCGACAGAGAGGTCATACACATATAATGATAAGGGGGCATAACTCCGTTATGCGTAACACTAGGTCCATGTAACTCAGATCACTTGGAGAGAATTCGTTGTGGATACGGACGCTATATTTTCGTTATTTTATGTTCATGGTGAACCAAACTATCCCAATTCAAAGTTCCCCAATGTGAGCGGATGCAGTTTGGTAGTTTCACAATTTACAAGAAAAATGACAACGTATTACATGTGAAAGCACGTAATAGCGATTTGGATGGCCCTATCCGATATATAAGTTAGTTCTTAGATTCCCATATTGTCCTGTTTGTGTAGATGTATTTTGACTAATTTTGCATCGTTATTACCAGAGTACTAGCCATATCTTCAAATGTAATGAAATTGCTGAAAATAATACACCATTTTAGTTGGCGTCATTGCTTGTTTTATGCATTTTGGCGGCGTCGGAAAAAGACGACACTGGTATGCTGTTTAGTACATATCTCACCTAATTTCCTTTAATTGTGTGAAAGGTCTCGGCTTCTATGTCAGAATTTAAGACTCTTTAGACAAAACATAAAATGACTGATTTTTCCATTTAAATAGTGTCCTGAATATATCAACAATTAGACAGTTTGACTGTGTATCTTTTGTGAGAAACACGGCGCACCTGTTTGGCATCAATTTAACGTAAATGAAAATAACATTTCACAACACCGAATATTTTGTTTAGGATAAGAATTTTCTTTGTTTATGATTATGTAGCTATTTCTCTTCATAAGTATGCAATGGAAGATGCAAAAGATAGCTTTTATATATGGAACTAGTACGTGCACTCTATATTAGAATATGGATGTAAGATTTGTCCAAATTAAGACATGACATGGTTTATATATTTTTAAACAGTTTTCGATTATAAATATAGTTAGAGTTTGATATCCTGTCATCACAATATTTTTAAATCGAATATGAATTGATTATATTATCGAAAACAATGATAGTGAATCATAAAAACGTTTCCGACAAACGCGCACCTGGCCAATCAATTTACATCATTGTTTTCTCTATAAACCGACACACAAATGTGCAAAAACAAGACAATTCCTTTAAATATGTGTGCATATACATTTCATACCATATATAAATCATTTTCATTAATATTATCAGTTTTACTTATAAGGTTGAATTAAATGCGCCGTTCATTAACCTGTTCATGTGAAACTGCAATATTAGTCCAAATGCATTGAATATTGTACATCATCGAACTAACGCAAATTGCAGTTATGGCTACGTTTGATCTTCTAACACTTGTGTAAAGGTTTAGAATATGGTGTATTGCACTAAATATGTCAATTTCCTATGTAAATATGATTCAAACAATCAAAAACTTTCAAAGAATCAAACACCGTAAACCCTATCGCCATTATGATATGATATTGAACAAGGCTAAATGTGGATACTGAAGTCAGTTTCATGAAAAGTATCTGAACTATACATAAAATATACACCATAATACTGACAGTGTAATCGGAAGGATAGGGCGATTGTGTTTACTCTTGTTCAACCGACCTTCACCTCAAAGAAATTGCCTAATATGTACAACAATGTTGACGTGATGACATCACTACCGCTGACCGATTTCTTACAAAATGGCTGCTTTGCTGACAAGGGTACACAGGATTTTGCGAGGACCCTTCCATTGATTCAGGGATCGTTTGTCCATAAATATGAGATGTAAGTAATCAGAATGATTCTGACTATCTGTGTATTGTTATATGTTTTATCGTTTTCACTAAAAGTAAGAGAAAAAGACAGAAATCCAGATAATTACCGTTGTCGCTTCTGCGTGATTTTCCGTCAGTCATGGCGTCCACGCTGCTGCGGAAACTTTGACAATTTCTTATGAATTATCAAATCATTGCATTGTATCTATTTATAATTTCCTATTTCTTGCTACGATACTCTTTCCATGCATATTCCAAAGGTATTGAGCAATTGCAAGCAATGAATAGACGGATGAATGTTGGAAAATTTCAGAAAATGCTACACAGTGTAAAATAGGTTTTTGTCTTTGTTTACATTTCGAACCAGCGCAGTCTTTCGAGCACAGCGTTCGTTTTCACACCAAATATGTTTCGTCTCATTTTATCTAGACAGTTGGCATTGGTGACAAAGACCACTTGCAGTTTGAGTCTAAAATGTATGGGGAGTTTATTGATGCATTTTTCGAAGCTGAATATGAAATATAATTGATGTAATATCGCCTCAATACCGACTTCGCTGGCGTGATTTTGTAAACACTATCCAAGATGGCGGAAAGCCACTGCGTTAGTGTAAGTGCATTTTCGAAAACATCCCAACCGATTCTAGATTCATCGGCAACGTTTCAGAATTTTACTTAGCGATTTCATGTAAAACTGATATGAGTGATCATGAATATGTTATTTTTGAAATTCAATACTCCCAGTAATTATCCGGTTTTCACATTTCAAAACATACAGCAAATACCGCTGTGAATCGCGATTTCGTACTGTGTCAAAAATGGCGACATTTTCGATGAAGCCTATTTTGAAAGGTCATTTTCAGCACTTGAACTTTGTCTAAAATAATAGTGGATGGTATCAAGAAACAGGAAATTTCCCGAAGAATTCGAAACTGTGAAGTGTATTTGTGTGCGTGGGATATTTTGATTTTTATTGGACTTGAAATTGAGGGTTGAAGGGGAAGGACATATATGTCCCTGTGGCATCCAGGGGGTTAAACCTAGGATTGTGCAAATTTATGCTATCAAATTTTGAATCAATCAGATGCCAATTTGCAATGGACTTTCAACAAGACACATGTAGATGTGGAGGCCATAAAACTTCTGAGTCCCGTGCTGGGATTCGAACCGGGATTCGAAGAGGTTAACCCCGTCAGCAAGCTGACAAGGTAAGGATGTCATCTGTGGGGTGGGTGAGGTTAACCCCGTCAGCAAGATGACAAGGTAAGGATGTCATCTGTGGGGTGGGTGAGGTTAACCCCGTCAGCAAGCAGACAAGGTAAGGATGTCATCTGTGGGGTGGGTGAGGTTAACCCCGTCAGCAAGATGACAAGGTAAGGATGTCATCTGTGGGGTGTGTGAGGTTAACCCCGTCAGCAAGCTGACAAGGTAAGGATGTCATCTGTGGGGTGGGTGAGGTTAACCCCGTCAGCAAGATGACAAGGTAAGGATGTCATCTGTGGGGTGTGTGAGGTTAACCCCGTCAGCAAGCAGACAAGGTAAGGATGTCATCTGTGGGGTGTGTGAGGTTAACCCCGTCAGCAAGCAGACAAGGTAAGGATGTCATCTGTGGGGTGGGTGAGGTTAACCCCGTCAGCAAGCTGACAAGGTAAGGATGTCATCTGTGGGGTGGGTGAGGTTAACCCCGTCAGCAAGATGACAAGGTAAGGATGTCATCTGTGGGGTGGGTGAGGTTAACCCCGTCAGCAAGCTGACAAGGTAAGGATGTCATCTGTGGGGTGGGTGAGGTTAACCCCGTCAGCAAGCAGACAAGGTAAGGATGTCATCTGTGGGGTGTGTGAGGTTCACCCCGTCAGCAAGCAGACAAGGTAAGGATGTCATCTGTGGGGTGTGTGAGGTTCACCCCGTCAGCAAGCTGACAAGGTAAGGATGTCATCTGTGGGGTGGGTGAGGTTAACCCCATCAGCAAGCTGACAAGGTAAGGATGTCATCTGTGGGGTGGGTGAGGTTAACCCCGTCAGCAAGCAGACAAAGTAAGGATGTCATCTGTGGGGTGGGTGAGGTTAACCCCGTCAGCAAGCTGACAAGGTAAGGATGTCATCTGTGGGGTGGGTGAGGTTAACCCCGTCAGCAAGCAGACAAGGTAAGGATGTCATCTGTGGGGTGTGTGAGGTTAACCCCGTCAGCAAGCTGACAAGGTAAGGATGTCATCTGTGGGGTGGGTGAGGTTCACCCCATCAGCAAGCTGACAAGGTAAGGATGTCATCTGTGGGGTGGGTGAGGTTAACCCCGTCAGCAAGCAGACAAGGTAAGGATGTCATCTGTGGGGTGTGTGAGGTTCACCCCGTCAGCAAGCTGACAAGGTAAGGATGTCATCTGTGGGGTGGGTGAGGTTAACCCCATCAGCAAGCTGACAAGGTAAGGATGTCATCTGTGGGGTGGGTGAGGTTAACCCCGTCAGCAAGCAGACAAAGTAAGGATGTCATCTGTGGGGTGGGTGAGGTTAACCCCGTCAGCAAGATGACAAGGTAAGGATGTCATCTGTGGGGTGGGTGAGGTTAACCCCGTCAGCAAGCTGACAAGGTAAGGATATCATCTGTGGGGTGGGTGAGGTTAACCCCGTCAGCAAGCTGACAAGGTAAGGATGTCATCTGTGGGGTGGGTGAGGTTAACCCCGTCAGCAAGATGACAAGGTAAGGATGTCATCTGTGGGGTGTGTGAGGTTAACCCCGTCAGGAAGATGGCAAGGTGAGAATGTCATCAAGAAGCTTGGGTCTCGACGTCACAGTCCTATAGAGTGTGGGGACACACTCTTCGTTAGAAGGGGGGTCGTATTATAGGCATGAGATTATGGTACTTGCCACAATAATAGACATACAATTAACATTATTAATAACAGGTGATTAAGAGGTGAGAAGATACAAATTATGAGAGGATTTAATAATATATTTAAGATATGAAGTGATTAATAACGTTGTAAGGTAGAAAGTCAGTAAAGAAGGTAATAAACATGAAAGTAGGTCGTTAGAGCTGATGAGGGCAAGGTGAGGTGACTCATAGCTTAGGTAAGGGAAAAACTACTACACTATCAAGATGGAGCGGCGTGGCCAGGGACCTTGCTACCAGTTCTTGGTACTCTACGAGTCATATATGGCTAGGGGAGAGAGACTCTGAGATTCCTGGAATCCACCTCACAGTCTTACAAATATGGTATTGGGGGTACGAAATAGAGGTGGGGGAGAGTAATAGATAGTCAGGTTATGGGTTATTGACCAATGGAAGAAATGGAAAAGGGTGTTGGTTGTGACGTAGAAACCCAGGTTTAAGCTGGAGCAAAGCTCAGAGACGGGAGTCTAGTGCGGGCCTACTCTTGATGTTGGTCACTAGGAATCGTCTCAGAAATTATCTTGAAGCACCAGCATTTGGCTTAAGACTGAAGCTTTGCGGCTTGTGGTTGCTGGAGGGACTACGGTAAAGTTCCAAGGGCCCCCAGGTACTGACACTGTACCTCTCGCACATCTCCTATCGTCAGGACCGGAGTACAGGGGTATACCGTAGTTCAGGTAACGACAATCCATCCCAGGTGTGGGATACCGACAGGTAAATTCCATCTACCTGCCAGGTAAAGGTGCTAGTCGACCACAAGTAGATCCACACCATAACTATAAATTACCAAAAGTAGATCCACACCGTAACTATAAATTACCACAAGTAGATCCACACCATAACTATAAATTACCACAAGTAAATCCACACCGTAACTATAAATTACCACAAGTAGATTCACTCCGTACCTATAAATTACCACAAGTAGATCCACACCGTAACTATAAATTACCACAAGTAGATCCACACCGTAACTATAAATTACCACAAGTAGATCCACACCGTAACTATAAATGACCACAAGTAGATCCACACCGTAACTATAAATTACCACAAGTAGATCCACACCGTAACTATAAATTACCACAAGAAGATTCACTCCATAACTATAAATTACCACAAGAAGATCCACACCGTAACTATAAATTACCACAAGTAGATCCACACCGTAACTATAAATTACCACATGTAGATCCACACCGTAACTATAAATTACCACAAGTAGATCCACACCGTAACTATAAATTACCACAAGTAGATCCACACCGTAACTATAATATACCACAAGTAGATCCACACCGTAACTATAAATTACCACAAGAAGATTCACTCCGTAACTATAAATTACCACAAGTAGATTCACACCGTAACTATAAATTACCACAAGAAGATCCACACCGTAACTATAAATTACCAAAAGTAGATCTACACCGTAACTATAAATTACCACAAGTAGATCCACACCGTAACTATAAATTACCACAAGTAGATCCACACCGTAACTATAAATTACCACAAGAAGATTCACTCCGTAACTATAAATTACCACAAGTAGATTCACTCCGTAACCATAAATTACCACAAAAAGATCCACACCGTAACTATAATTACCACAAGAAGATCCACACCGTAACTATAAATTACCACAAGAAGATCCACACCGTAACTATAAATTACCACAAGTAGATCCACACCGTAACTATAAATTACCACAAGTAGATCCACACCGTAACTATAAATTACCACAAGAAGATCCACACTGTAACTATAAATTACCACAAGAAGATCCACACCATAACAATAAATTACCACAAGTAGATCCACACCGTAACTATAAATTACCACAAGAAGATCCACACCATAACTATAAGAGCAAGCAATAACAGGGAGATAAAATCAGGAGGCATACAAAGCAACATGTCTATCCTTTCTTTACAGTTGTACTGTCTACTTACTAAGGTGTCAGATTCGATTTTTGATGAATCGAACCGAATCATTGCAGCCCTGCTGTCTACTTACCTATCTGACACACAGTGAACTGGGAGATGCTACATCTCAGCTTCTTGTATCTGTCTTCTCCACTGTCAAACAAGCTGAAACAACCATGCACTCAGATCATTCAGATGTATTATGAGGAAAATTACACTTTGGAATATATTCTTACTCCTTCAAAAGGTGCATGAAAAACTAGGCAGCGGATAGCTATATAAGTACATGTGAAACAGCATCAGTGATAACATAATGTTCAATGGTGGGCACTGAACAAGGTAGACCAGTGGCTTACTGGTGCTGACTGGTCTTGGCAATGGACACATAGAAGCCAGGAAATAATCCAGGCACTGATAGGTAATGGACGAAGGAGACTTATACAGACTTTGTGATGAAAGACAAGGGAGGATCAGACAAAACATTGGAAACATTTTATTTCATCAGTTTGCTTGTCCTTGTGCCATCGATCCTACCTGTCACTTGTGTTCATGTGATGGACATGCTGTGCTGACGTACCTGTATTTCATGCTGTCATTCACTGTCAAGCCTGTGAATTCTGTGTCTATAGCTGAAGTGGAAGATATAACTGATCACATATTAGCAGCTGCATGTCATGGCTATCATTTCTTACAAACCTGAAAGTGATATATACAAACATGTTAAGGTATGTTCTTACATATAGTGTGTTATATTTTAACTATGAGTATAGTACCTTATATTTTAACCATGAATATAGTGTTATATTTTAACACTAAGTATAATACCTTATATCTTAACCATGTGTATAATGCCTTATATTTTAACCATGAGTATAGTACTTTCTATTTTATCCAACTGGTGGTGGAGTTTAGCTAGATACCTCCTTAACTATTGCCGAGTCATAAAATCATTGTAATGACAATACATGATAATGAATCGGTCTAATATATTGTCATTGTCTGGTGGGTCAACATGGTCACAACGGGTCATGGCTGGGGCCTTTACATACTAAAAATGTCTTTACATTCTATTCCTTATTGCTTGACTCCTCATGTAAACATGATATTGATAAGATGACACAGATTTATTTTTTTCAAATTATGTTGTCTGGAACAGGAACTGTCAACAATTGGTATTTATTACTATTATCAACCATATTTCATGTTCTGTGTTGTCACCAAACACTGACAACTAGTGTGTTTTCAGGATTAACTTGAGGAAGGTTGCTAATGACAGCTAGATTGGAGATGTGTGCAGAAATAACATACCAATGAAATCTGCTTGTTTTGCAGACTTTTCTATAAGAGGTAGATAATTTTCTAAATTGTTTTTCGTCACTTCACACATTTTGATAGATATATCAATAAGACTGAATTCTCAGAGAGATCGGAATAACGAGCACATGTATGTTTACAGAGGGCGCATGTGCTGTTTTGTAACAATATTTTTGATTGGACAAATACTCAAATTTAAAATCCGGACAATAATGTTTGGATATACATACAGTATGTGAAGATCGGTTGTCTCCCAAAACCCCTACAGCCAAGTACCCCTACAAACAGTTAAAACATCACGCGGCATTTACCTATCTGACATAATGAACTGATCCAAAAGAGAGATTACAGGGTGGAGTATACAGTGGGAGATTAAGCTGCATAGAGAATACAGATGAGAAGGGGATTAACATTGTGCTGTTGTTGGTTGGGTTTTGATCATTCATTTTAAATAATTGAGATGAATTAAATGTTGAACATGTTTGTTAGCTTTCTAATGTACACAGTGAGTAGACAGATTTTGCACATGGTTAAGTTTTAGCCTGCTGAATTAATTTCATCATAAGACGTTGTTAAGAGGGTGGGTGATTTCAAGCAGTCGGTGTGTCATTAAATAAGGGACAACTGAAAATAATGCTTGGCACATTAATACTACATAGAAAAATGAACATTAGTATAAAAAAATATCTTGATACTTTCAAACATACAGATTTTAAGCAAAAATAAATAATGCAAATTTTCTTGAATTTACCTGAATTAAATTTGATTGACAGTCGAATGTGTTTCATGTAAGGAAGGAATTATCTGACTTTAAATTCGTATATTTGTATCGGAAAATATAAAAAAACATTTCTGAAAAAAAATAATCGAAAATGTTCGTTGTAAACAAATCGTATTTTCGATTTCATCACATATTTTATTAAAATGACAGTATTACGTTTATTCTAAGGTGTCATGTCATGAAAATTGCAGAATAAAATATATGATTTATGAATATTAACGAGTCCTAATTTTCAAGTGGTATGGTTCATTATTTTCCATCTATGACTACCGGCTGGGATCGATGTTCTAAATACCTTTAAACCGTTGTATTAATGAACCATCAATGCCACAAGATTTTAACTTGTGCACGAGACCTTTGTGCCACACTCGAGCAAGATATGTTTGAATAAACATCGCTCAAATATTTTAGATATACAACTTGGTCGAATTCCATTGTTCACTCAAAGAGTATTCGATGGTCGAATTATAACAATTTTATTTGGGATATTCTTGTCGCAAGCATTCGAATTCCTTATTGTAGTCATTAATATATTTGCAATGTCATCCACATCCATCATATTTATTTTTAAATGTATCACTTGGGTCTGATAGATGGGGTATCAATATATACTATCCCAAAAAAGAAACGCATAGCCGTTTGCATTTTAAAAAATCTATTAATTACCTATTGTATTCAAACAATCGTCAAAATATGTAACAAAAGGGTCGATAACATGATTTTACACATTTGCACAAGTAAAAAAAATCGACTTTACCCGAAAATGTTGATTTTGATGAGATTTCTTACAATGATTAAAAGACATCGCCACAACGCAACAGAAATCACCTTCCAGTTGAAATTGTGCAGCAAAGAGCATGCACTCTCTGGCTATAAAAATCCAGATTACTTTCGCAAATCGGCATTCGTTTTCAAGGAGTTTCAAGGTCAAATCACTACGCCACGTCTTGACGCTGCGACACGGAACATCGCCATTGAAAGAATGCACGCTGGAGATTACCAATCATCTGTTGCCAGGCGTCTGAACGTTAGTCTGAGCACGATATCACAGCTTGCAGCTCGTTACAACCAAACAGGTATAACAAAATTTAATGATAGTCCCCATAATACAGGCAGACATCGAGTCACCACTGCAGAGAAAAATTGGTACATCCGGGTACTACATTTGCGTGATCGTACTGCCACGGGGGAGAGCACAGCAGGCAGGGAGGATATCCGGTCAAACTGTACGGAACAGGTTGAGAGAGGTTGGACTGAGAGCCAGGAGAGCCGTGCTACGTCGTCACCATCGCGCTCAACGCCCTCGTTATCTAAAATTATCCACTTGGTTGTATAGACATTTCCTTCTTCTGAACTGATGTACAGATTCGTGTACTAATGTCTATTTGTGGTCGAGTTATACACGTTTGAAAATACAACATTTTCGCAACAGATTTCTGGGTTATGCGTTTCTTTTGTTTGAATAGTATATATAGGACAATGGTCACTACAAATAGGGTCTAACGCAACGCCACCATGCACGTTTCACATAGACGATACAAATATAAGATCAGTTAAAGGGCTGGAGGTGATTCAGCAAATGGTAATAATACCAGTTGTGATATAATGTAAACATTTTGGTTATCATCCATTAAAACCATTTTCTCAAACTCATGCCTAATTTCTAGAGGTTTGGCTGGTCTATTGTATGGGCCACTTGGTGGTTGAACAGCCAGGTGTGCGAGTTGCACGTGTGAAATTGAAATTGTACGACAAACGCTTGTTGATTACCTGGCTGTTCTACCAGCAAGCCTTTATAGTCCATTTGGGTTCAAATGAGAACGATGAATGATTAAATATCTCAAAATAGGGATAAGTGCACAATACATAAATAAGACACATGGTCCTAAAACCTATGTACCCATCAGTATCTGAAATCTGACGTTTTATGATATATCACGGAAAATGTGGGGAGGTATGGTTTCGTCAATTTTGTTCACATGTATAAGGGGGTGAGCAATTTTGTACACAATTGTATTACAAAATTTTGCTTACAAAATTATGGGAGGTGGGGGGGGGACATTGATTTTGCTCATGAAATGCAGGGGAGGGTCACTTACTTTGTACATAAATATTTTTTTGGGGGGAGGTGGTGTCTTCCACAGTATGCATGCTTCTTCATAAAATCATCTCTCTCTCTCTCTCTCTCTCTCGCTCTCTCTCTCTCTCTCTCTCTCTCTCTCTCTCTCTCTCTCTCTCTCTCTCACACACACACACACACACAAACAGACACACACACACACACAGACACACACTATATATCCCGCCATAAATTAAGACTGGTCCCTAATCTAATAAACCTTACTTTAACATGAGATGTAACCTGAGACAAATATTTTAATAATATGGTTGCTGGTGTAAAGTGAAAATAGTTGTAAATTTAAGTCAGTGATGACACCAGATGTTCGCCAAGAGGTAAGCATGTCATGTTGTCATACAGGCAGCGGGCGTAATTCATTAAAACATCTAACAGGTAAGCTATTGAATAATGTCGGATTAGTCCGGTAACTTGTAGCCGATGAGTTTTGTCGTTTTTGTCTTTTGTGTTATGTTTTAGGTTGTGAGAGAGGAAACATATCCCAGAGCAATGCTCAACTTATTAGTCACGTTTTTCTCCATATGGTGATTATTACAAAATGAATGTGTTATTATAACTGTAAATTTACGACAACCGTAAAATGAATGCGCTCAACCAATCGCATAGCGTTTTACATCGTCTCTTAGGAACGCGTAAACAATGGCGGAAAGTTTGAGAATTCCTTCTGAGTGTTGGGATACATGAACTTATTTCTTCATCAATAATGTGAAATATGCAAGAAAATCACCATGGACCCACTAACGAAATTGATTTTTGTCGTAACCGCCATTTTATTTGCTGACATATGTTCATGCCAAGGTGTGTTTGCTCTTTCATATTGAAAAGTGTATTATTGCAAACGTAACTTTCAAACAAGCACCTGCACGATTTTTGCCTCTCACACATTTTTGTGCTCTTTTATTTTGTCTCATATATGAAAGTAATGTATTTCGTAAATATTCATGAAGTCGTAATGATAAGTGTTTGATGTGATAAATAGTTTTGTCAGTCAAAAAACCGTATATTTCTCTCCTACTCTCAGAATCATGTCTAGACATGCTAAAATTCAGGCGTCTACAACATCCAAACCACTGTTGTTTTTTGCAGTATTTAACAGTTATGATGGAAATGATTACTTGATACAGCAAATGTGATACACATACATATATAAGTTTCAATCCACCTGTTTCATACGTCGTACACATTGCATCTGAAATATGACCACAGGACTCTTAGGGAAAAAATTATATTGTTAGTATAATCCTTACGTCGCAGTGTTGTAGCCAATGATCAGTTTGCAGCGACAATTATTCCTGATGTTGTTTTCTCTAACTTGGCAGTAGGTATAAGAGAATATTAAAGTGATGACAGATATAAATATGAGTGTACTAAAGTCACTGTATATGTAGAAAGTCTTTTAGGCATTTAGTAGATATTAGGGCTGCAACGAATGCACTATGTGGTGAATATGATATGTATCATGAATATTGGGTAACGAATACAAATAATTATTCACGAATACAATATTGTAGTTAAGTGATTGATGTACAATATGTTCGTATGTAATAGTTATAATCGACCGTACCATGTGCGAACTTGGCAAACTAGCATAATTTGCACTACTGCAATGCTAGTACATGTTCTATTCTTGCATATCTCACTTTGGAAAAAGACATATGGGTTCAAGTAAAACATGCTCCCTCAAAAAAATCGTAAATATTCGTTAATATTCGGTGCTGGTGACCACGAATAACGAATTGAATTCATGAAGGGCTACGGTTCGTTCACCCGAATCACTACAGCCTTAGTAGATATAGTTGTGGCAATAAGTATTATTATTCTTTATTCTTTTAACTTCTATGTTCACCACTCATAAAGTTTTGTGATACCTTCAATTTTGCATTATTGACTCACCAATTTCTAGAGTGAGTTTAGTTTTACGCCGCACTAAGCAATATTCCAGCTATATGGCGGCGGTGTGTAAATAATCAAGTCTGGACCAGAAATCCATCCAGTGATCAACAGCATGAGCATCGATCTGCGCAATAGGGAACCAATGACATGTGTCAACCAAGTCAGGGAGCCTGACCACCCAATCCCTTAGTCGCCTCTTACGACAAGCATGGGTTACTGAAGGCCAATATTCTAACCCGGACCTTCACTGGTCACCGATTTCTAGAATGCAAGGGTGATCGGGGTAGCCTAGTGGTTAAAGCGTTCACTCATGCCAAAGACCTTGGTTCAATTCCCAACATGGGTTCAATGTCTGAAGCCCATTCCTGGTGTCCCCCACCATGATATTGCTGGAATATTGCTAAAAAACTGCTAAAAACTATACTTTCTCAATCACTTACTAGAACGCGGATCAAACAGTTTGTCTTCCCTAGTCACCAAATATGAAGAAGGTGGCAGAGTTTCTAGTATTGTCTGGAAGTTAAGACTGTGTGACATCCTGATCTTCTGTTCACCAGATCCCAGCATATTTGACAGTAATGTCATAGCCCAAAGAAACACATCATGTTCTGGAACTGTATCTGTTAATAAAATAAATATAAAATCACATTGTTCAGTCCTAACTGAGTATAGCAACAGGTGCTTCGCAAATACTAGATCTGGCTCACAGATTGAAACAATGGAATTACTTGCCTCATTTTATAAGAAGGGGGGTACTTTATTAATGACAATGTCTTTATTATATTATGATACAAGTTATCACGCAATATTACTGTTATCAAGCAAGAGTTCTGCACTTTTGCAGAATTTATTAAGGAAGTGTGATCTTCATGTTGACTTTATCATCCTAAGAGTATTTGTAATTTCATTAATGCTTTAATATTTTAAGACATTTGAAGGTGAAAGATTGATCTCTCATCAATAAAATTAAGCAACTGATGTTTCCTTTTCAGAAATTGGTACAGTTCACATAGGAGATTTGACAGGTTCTACAAATACAACAGCATATTCTTTCAATAGAAACCAAGGACCTCAAGTGCTACCGATCTATATCCAAATAACTGATCTGTCCGACCCTGCCACAGCTGTTGCACTGAGAGATACAGTAGGTTTCACATTTCTCAAATCTTGCAGTATGTGATTGTTTTCTACTATGTCAGGTGGGTGAAATACATCAATGGTAGTGTTGAAGATAGTGATGACACACTAGAAACCTATCATCTTGTCTTGGAATCTTAGATTTACACTCATCTTGTTTTTAGATTTGTCGGCAGCAAGCCTCTGCTCCTGGGTTTCCCAAAAGTCAGAATTATCTGGATATGAAAACCAAGTGCCTGTGACAGGCAACTGGAGAACAATCAGTATTTTGTAGAAACAAGGGATTTGGGGGGATTTTCCTGATTTCAGAGGTAATTGCGTGTTAACCCCAACTGCCTTAATAGTTGAGAGTACATATTTCAGGAAGGGGCGGTGGGGTAGCCTAGTGGTTAAAGCATTCGCTAGTCACTCCAAAAATCCAGGTTCAATTCCCCACATGGGTTCAACGTGTGAATCCCATTTCTGGTGTCCCGCTGCTGTGATATTGCTGGAATATTGCTAAAATTGGCATAAACTATGCTCACTCACATTTTTCAGGTTGACATCACTTGTGAAGCTAGTGATGACCGACTTGGCTATACAGCTGTTACTTTCAACCCCCCTCACCTTCTCACCAGGACCCACTACTTCCAGTTCCATCTCCTTTGAGTACGTTACCATGTGATTATTGTTTGTTTTGTCACAGTTAACTGATTACAGATATATTTTATTTCTCAGTTAAAATAACAATGCGACTGATATATTTGATATATTTGTGTTGGCTGCAGTGGTTCATTCTTTGTAAGCAACCAAAGATTTCACAAGTGGTTTTAGGTTGAGATTTTAACTCACTGTGTAGTGGTGCTCTTATTAACAGTGCCAGAATCTACTTTTCATGGCTTTGAATCCCCTGAAATTTACTCAAGTGTGTTTCTATGCCTGTCTGCACCAGCAAGTTTTGTTGTTTTGGTGATATGGAAGGTTTATTTCTGTATGGAAAAGCTCAGTGAAACACCATGAAGCAACATTACAGCCTCAGTCATTGCTGGCACATGCACCACAGACATGCAGCACAACACCATGTACTTGACTACCATCACAAAACTCAATAAGGAGAACACATTCCAAGGGAGATAACTTTCCCCCTCTGCTGATGCATACCACTGAAAACTACAGCATGGTTGCAGTAACACCCACTCATAGTTTTAGTGAAATGGTAGACAACTGAAAGGAGGCCTGGGAATGAAGGACCAAGCAGTTTATGGTCCAATAATTCACTATGCAGAGTTGTGTCCCTTGGGCTTGTCAGAATCCTCATCTTGTTGCTAAGAATCCTGGTTTGCCCTGATAATGTTTCCAATTTGTCACGATAACCGTGCTGGTGGGTGTCACCATAGTTATCAACACGCTAGACCTGCACCACATCAAGATGATATGCTATGACAGAAGTGGAATGCTGTTGAAAGTGGATTAAATGTTCACTTGTCATGTCAAAGAGACCGCCTCCGTGGTGTAGTGGTTAGAGCGTCCGCCCAGAGAGCGGAAGGTCGCGGGTTCGATACCCGACCGCGTCATACCAAAGACGTTAAAATATGGTACTTGTTGGTCCCTGCCTGCACTCGGCATTAATGGGTACAACAAGGACTGGTCGTACAACAAGTGACTGGTCGGTATTCATGCTTAAGTCAGTATCTCAGTGTGTCTGAGCTTCAGTGGGCCGCTGAAACACATCATGCGCGCATGCACGGGACGCCATATGAGCAAATATTCTCTGCAGCCGCTTCACTTCATATTGCTGGAATATTTCTGGTGCTGGAATATTGCTGGAATATTGCTAATATCAGCTTAAAACCATACTAACTCACTCTCTTCTAAATGCCACTCAAAGACTTTATATTTAATTTTGCAGTTTGACACGAGCAGGGCGGAGTGTGGATATCCGATGTTTTGGCACCTCTAGGGGCCTGGCCTGCCCTGCCAACACAACGAATGGCGCCACGCCCCCCCAGCCACAGTTCTGTCCCTCCACTTCACTCAGCTCCCCTGTGTATGTACTCGCTGACACGACAGACAGGGAACCAAATGCCTATAGATACCGAGAACATCTAATAGAGTTGTTAAAAGTTTAAAACTCTGAAACTTGCAGCCTTAACCTTCTATTGAAGGGTGTTCATATATCACTTATCTGTCCAAAGTGGTATCTCCCATGGAAGCCAGTTTGGGATGAAATATAAAGGTTCAAACGGGAGAGAGTAGGTAGCTCTTACCTGGAACATTGTGTTTGTTGCTGCAGTACATAAGTTACTCCAGCCTCATGTAGGGCTGCAACGATGCACCCAAACCTCGAATCAATTCGATTTTCGATATTGGACCCTTGATTTGATCAATTTCGATTCGATTCGTCATGCCAGTAAAAACATCAGATTTAATTTAACCCTCAGAGTCCGCTTTTATAGCGTGAATTCCATCGTCAACTTGGCAATGTCTAGTAACAACAATTCTCATTGGATAATTAGCCCGGCGTCAACCAATCATGTTTCGCCTTATTTCAGTGCTCGAAAACCCTCAAGTTGGAGTCAAAATTACATTATAGCTGTGTGGAAATAATTTAAATAGGCATTCAAATATCGAATCGATTTAGTGATAATGGTTATTGAAAATCGAAACTAAGGTGTCAGATTCGATTTTCGATGAATCGAATCGTTGCAGCCCTAGCTCTAGGACAGTCTCTGCCTGGCCTAACACAAACAAATATGCCTAACAGCTACAGTTTATTTTGTAGCGTTTATGTAAATTTTGTAAATTACCAGGAATTTGCAATTGTTAGTTGACAGAAGATATTTCAACCGTTGTTAACTGGACTTCAGCTTTGGACTAATGGCTCCAGAGGGTAGGGCTTGTAGAATAAAAGTAAAGAAAATTTCTCTAGTGACATGTATATCATGGTAAAACAGCCGATAGACAGTTGGATTACACCGGACAATATCAGTTTTTGACTACTGGCTGTGGTTTGTTATGACGTTTACATGCATTGCTTTGATTGACAGATCGCTCACAGTCCGCCCAGCACCAATTGTGAGTTTCTGTGATGCTGTGGTCACCGTCCCTAACGACAACACACTGGAATCTACATTCGGTCTTGCTCTCAGGTACAGGATTCTGAAGACAGGAGGACATCCTTTTATGATATTGTTTATTGTTATTTCTTCCCAAGCTTAAAATAAAACGTTAACCAGGAATCAGTCAGTAAAAGAACTAGTTGTGAAACCTACAATCAACAAAGACATGTGATGTAATTAGCAATTGTATTCTAAAATTTACTTAAAAGTAATAACAGGAGATTTTCACCAAAGGTTCTGTCATATTGTCAGGTGGAAGCAAGCAGACTTAATGTTTCATTAGATGATAATTATTTTTTTTATTATTAAGCCCAACAAATATCATGTTAAAATGATTGGTTTGGTTGTTGTTTAATGCCGCAATATTCCAGCTATATGGCGGCGGTCTGTAAATAATCGAGTCTGGACCTGACAATCCAGTGATCAACATCATGAGCATCAATCTACACAATTGGGATACAATGACATGTGTCAACCAGGTCGGCGAGCCTGACTATCTGATGCCGTTAGTCGCAACTTACGACAAGCATGGGTTGCTGCAGACCAATTCTAACCCAGCATGTGTTCATATACCACATAAATAACTTCTACAACAATTGGGATATGATTCAGTGTTTGCCCCTTGTTTGTCAGTGAACCTGACCACAATATTCCAGATCCTGTTAAGTAGTCACCTGTTACGGTCGATATAGTGAGCATCCATTGTTGTTGAAGACCAATTCTAATATAGATCTTCACGGGCCAAAATAAGGCTTCTACACAGTTGGGAACATGTGAGCCTGACTAGCCTGATCCCCCTAGTTAGTCACTTTTACCACAAGCATGTGTTGCTGAAGACCAATTCTAGCCCAGATCTTCTCCACGGGTACCATGTTAAAATGAAGGCACTAGCCGAAGGAAGATGTTTGCTGACTAAGATGAGAATACTTCAGTAGGTATTGAAGTGTATGAGATGATCCAGGGATTGTCTGTATATGAGATGATTCCCCTGATTTCAGTGAGGTGGTCGTGGACAATCCAGTAGACATCACCTGTGGGATGACTGTGTTTGGTGAGTTGATAACAACATGTATCTAGTTCGGAAATTATTCAAATATCACGCATGACATTGTGTTTAGAAGCTGTCCAGTGAGGTGAATTGTGGTTCATCACATTCACATGTTTGCACTTGTATAGCCATGTATGTGTCTGTTCATCTGTTTTTTTGTTTTACTAGACTGGAATATAGTTGTATTGTGCTTGTGTTGTCCTGCCAAAACTTCTACATGCCAAAAGTTCTACATGCCAAAAGTTCTGCAAACAAAACAATAAAATACATGGTCCAGTGCACAGCTAATCCCCTGTCCCTTACCTCAAGTGCACTGGATGGACTAGTCCAACTAGTTAGGCTTAATAGACTTAAGATCAAGTTGAATAAAAGTACAAGAGGTAATAGGTGCACGATGAACTGTTTATTGACATATACATATCATAACATGTAATATATCAATATTTTATATGTTTTTTTAAAAATACATGGTATTGTCTTACATGTCAGCACTGATTTCAATTTGAAATGTCAATGTCTGATAGTTCTAATGTCATTAGGCAAGTTGTAGGAGGTGGCTGACAGCATCTAATTTCTCCTTAAGACTACGTACATTCAGATGGACTATCCTTAAAGCATTTGTGCATTTAGGTCCTGGATTAGGATGAATATCTCCACAGCACAGTAACAAAAGTGAAATCATTATGGAAACACAACTGCCATACAGACAACGAAATTTGAATAGATATTGATAAAGAGCAAATTTACCTGAGTGTTTAGAATGAAATGCTGCAGCAAATGTACCCACTGCCTGTCTATATTGTGATATTTCAACCGACATCGAAAATTAAAAATTGGTGACAAAAATAGTAGACAGTGGGTCTTGAGGATGCAAAACTGCATAGGCACACACCAATATCATAACTTAATGATATCATACATAAACAAAACAAGGGCATTCTTTTCTTGTCACATTCATAACATAAATAATCAAACAAACAGAAGAGGAAAGGGTAAAAAAGGAAATACAAAGACAAAACCATTGGTCTAGTTAGTGATAGGAAAATTCGAGAAAATTTCATATATAAAATGTTTTCAAATTGCCTATAAATGTAAGTCATATCAATTGCCCAAAATATCTACATCAAAACATAGTTAACAGTAGTGAGAAGATTTGTATCCGTGTCGACGCATGTGCATGTGCGAGAGAACACAATGTGGGCGCTTAGCACGAGAATGTGTGCGTGTGTGTGTGTGTTAAGGATGCATGTTCAGGGCACAACCAAGACGGACTGGATACCTGTGCGATTAGATGCATGGTGTTGTAAAACAACGTGAGTACAGTTGTACTGTTGTTTGTTACATATCCTATTCTATATAGACATATTCAATGCTTTGCCACAGACGGAAATCAAAAAGGGTAATGTAAACAATGTGTAATACTGATTTGTATAGTACAGTAGTTGAGTCAAGTGTTAATTGGCACAGATAGCTTATTGAGCACATTGTATGAATGCAAAATATACTGAACAGCAAAAGAAACGCAAGTTTTGAAAAAATGAAATTTCATGAAGGTAAGCGTTCATGTTTATGGAACGTTTATGGTAAAGTGACGTAATGATCCCAGATGAGATGATGTCATGCAATTTGACGTCCGTACGAACCGTTCCCACAAACACACCAACAGTGCAGCAAAACCATAATTTTTTCTGCCTCCGATCCACATGTAATATGCCCTAGTTGTTCTACCGCGGTCGCTTAATTCACGCGCAGTTACTGCATTAATTTATCTCATTCTGCATTTTAATAAATATCATCTTTAAGGCCTTAAGACGTAAGCTGCAGATAGATCACGCAAACAAGGGCAAAACATGGCAGAGAGTCCAGATATTCCTTCCAGTCAGCTGCTATCGACCCTCTCCTGCCTGGTGTTCTGCTAGAGACCCCTAAGCGGCAGAGGAACGTGGACGAGTCCGCTTACTCGAAGAAACGATCGCCTCCCTCCCAGATATCCCGGCCATTGCAGACTAAGTCTAAGAGGGCCTCATCGCCGCCTCAACGCAGATTGAGGACACTCCAGGGCAGCGCAGAGACTTCCAAAGGGAAATTCCACGGGCGACAGCAAGAACTTTCAGCCGAGATCGCTCCAGCAGCAGAGTTGGGCCTCTACGATGATCAGCCGATAATCATCCCCGACTTTACGGCAGAAGAAGCGACCGTGTCAGCGACTGTGACTTCTGCAGAGATCTCCATGCAGCCTGATGCTCTCTACACCGACGCCAGACGCCATTGATGTGAACCCCATCGCAGAAAAGACGCCTCGAATTTACGACTTCGGGCTACAGATCATCCCAGAAGACATGATGCGCAGATTATGAACATCATGGAGGACCACTACAAACCGCGCAAGCAGGGTCCGAAGCCTTCGCTGGCGCTCCAACGTAGACAGCACCCCAGAGGCACCCCCATCAACGTGTAGCAGCCAAGACGATGTCACCTTCACTGAAGGAAGTCCCGCACCACCTTGACGGCGGGACCTAGATGTACAGCTCGCTAGGCCTTCGCCAAGGCGAGGAGAGATCATCACCATCTTCGATTTCATCTCTAGATATGGACTCCTCAGACCATCAGACATCACGGAAGCCTTCGCTGGTCATATCATCGCATCCCCCGGACCGGACGCAAGAAAATGAAGCTTCCGCTAAGGCATTCGCTAAGGACATATGATTCCAGATCTTCATCGCCTAGAAGAACATCGGACTGTCGAAGAGCTTTCGCCAAGCTATCAACATTCACCTCAATAAGTCTCCGAAGATCATCCCATAGACGATCTCCACTCCGGCTTCATCACCAGGTCGATCACCCATCAGATCTCCACATAGAGCGCGCACAAGTCAATTTAGATCGCCACAAACCTCATCAGATATACAGACAGCTACACGCGAGTCCCAAGAGCATCTACAATTTATTAATGATGATGGTTTTGAGGATGATGGAGGGAATCATATTTCTGATGCAGAGATACGGCATTGGATGGTCAATAACCTAGATCTCATATCATCACCATCTAAAAGTGGCAATACAGCTCAGACGTGATTTGATGAAGGAAGATGATCCAGATGCAATCACTCTACCCTCGATCGATCTCGGATTATGCAGTGCCACAGAATCTAGATGCAGCTTTCCAGAAAGCTACGAAAGTTCAGATACCACATCTACCCAACTTTCAAGCCAAGAAGTTCTCCACGATAACATGGACTCCTTCTTACAAGGCCCAGGACATCGATGCAGAACTATAAGATCATCAGCGATGTAAAGAACAAGATTTATGTAAGATGGATGATCGCAGTTGGTCTATATATAGAAACCATGACTTTAGACGATGTTCTTTGGGTTAAATAGGATCTAGGACGCATCAATGAGACTCTTATTACTAGATTCCGGATTCCACGACGGAAGATGATAGAATGATTTATTCTGCCTTACTTATGCAAAAGAAAGATCAGCAGTTTTTAACGGATCATCTTACATCTGTTTCAGCAGCACTGACCTTAGCTCGTCAGCCAAGGCCTCCTCGCCTCCTGTAATTGGGGAGAACTTTACAGCCCCACTTTCTTTATACAGCCCCGGTATCGACAACATCCATCTTTGACGGAGAAATCGACAAGGTCGCCAAGGAAGTCTCTAAGGATTCCAGGGAAGTCCTTATGATTAGATCGATGGACACACTAGCCAGCTGCCATTCGGTCAGACTTCACAAAGATACTCAAGCAGATCTAAGTTCACGGGCCTACAAAGAGCAAGAGACAGGAAGATAGCCAGCTCTAGAGGTAAAGATTCTTTTCACGCCCATATGGCAACTATAGAGGAGGATCAGGAAGAGGCAGGACACCCAGAGGTTCCCTTCGCAATTATAGACGCTGAAACACAGGTTCGAACGACTGAGTCTTCCACCCCCAGCCGCTCCAGTACAACCAGCTCAAGTGGGTGGACGCCTCCAACT